GCCCCAGTCATCTTGTTCTTTCTCGCACTCAGTCCATCTCTGTTTTGTACATGGTAGAAACTTGACTTCATCCCGCTGCCCGGCCGCCGTCCGCCCGGCACGGAGTTGACATTGACAAGCCCCTGGTACCTGGCAGTTAGATTCTTCAAGTTGGTCACCATACAAAGTAAGCAGCACATTAGTTTCTAGGGTTCTTTCCGTCGAGGTCAATTCCCTCCATTGTCTCTGTCCTTTTTTCTTTCTCTTCATGCAAGCAAGTTCATCTTGCCAGTAGAAACCGGATTGTCTCGGTAATTGTGGATTCATCTTCCGTCACTCACTCGGCCGGGGTGGAGATCGATCTGGCTCCGTCGGACTTGGGAGTCTCCTGATGTGACATAATACAGGTTTCCCTCGTCCGTACGGAGTACTCCGTACACTCGGTAGCATTCATGTCAGGTACACATGGCCATGCTGGATGCAGCTGACCATCCACATGTGGTACTACGACAATTGATAATCATGCAACCAACACAAATGCACCTCAGATTATCTTTCATTATTGTAAAACATGTCAAATTCGTATCTGTCTGAAGCTAATAACCATTCCCATAATCATGCAATGCCGTCCTTGTTCGCGTATTCAAAAGTCAGTCTTGGCAATCTCTCATTTAGTGTACATTCAAGCACCTCATACACGAGTGATCCAGCTTAGAACCACTCTCCGCTTAGCCAGCGGTTGAAGAAATCAGAGGAAGCCTCGGGCTGGTCCATGGGCACCATGTGGCCAGCACCATAGATCTGCATGAAGGTAAAGTTACCGCTAGACTTGACCTTGCCGTACTCCTTGCCGTCATGCTCGAGGTTCTTGATCTTGGCGTGGCTGAAATCCTTCTGGCCAGACCACTGGAGCTTGTCGGTCCATGCCTGGTTACCCAACCAGTTGCAGATAAAGTCGGCATCGCCAGCATAGATGAGAACAGGGATCTTGTCAAGAACGTTGGGGACGAGCTGGTGGTAAGGCTGCATCCAATCGCCAGCAAAGAGGAAGTTTCGGTTAATGTCCATGTTGCAGCTGTCGTAGCTGCTGACCTCAACACCAAGAGCCTCCTTGACCTCTTCGCGGTTCAGGTAGTCGGCAATGTAACCTAGGCCAGGATAGCAGAGGTTGGAGCTGTCCTCACACTTGCCTCGAATGTCGTAGACGTTCTGGCCGGTGCGCTGGTAGGGGCCCATCATGGCGTTGTTGCAGTAGATGCTGGCGGGGACACAAGACCAGGCACTGCCGGACTCGTAGCAGCCCTTGATCAGAGACTGGCAGCGGGGCAGGGCGTTATCCATGGACTGACACTCGCTGTCACTAAGGACAGAAGGATAGCCACCCTCACCGCAGGCCATGGGGCGGTAGTAGGCGTACTGGGTGTAGCCATCAGTAAGGCCATTGCCAATGAGGACGCTCTTGAGGTTGATGTTGCGGTCATCGTGAGAGAGAATCTCGTTGGCAAAAACAGGGATGTAGTGGCCTGCATAGGACTCACCAGCAATGTGGAAGTCTTGCTTGGCATACTCGGGGAACTGGTGGAAGAACAGGGTGAGGAGAGCATAGATGTCCTTGCCGGCAGCAACAGTGTTGCTGACGGAACCACCGCTGTAGGAGTAGCCTACATTGACGGGCTGATCGAGGAAGATAACGGAAGCGTTGTTGTTCCAGGACTCGGGGTTGTTGACGAGCTCGATCTTCTTGTTGATGGAAGCAGGTCCAAGCTCAAGGAAGAGACCAGTCAATGAAGAGCAGCCAGGGCCACCGTTAAGCCAGAGGACGACAGGGTCGTTCTTGGGGTCGTTACGGGACTCGAAGAACCCTCCGAGGTGTTAGTTCAGATAAATTTGGCGCGAGTCGGGACGACAACTTACAGTAGAAGAGATGCTTGTCCTCCTCTTCATTGTCAAGATAACCACTGTACTGCTTGACCTTGTCAACACCGAGCTTTGAAGGGTCGACCTTCTTGGCGCGGAGGTTGAAGTTGTCGAGCTTTCCGCCAACCTCGCGATGCTTCTCGCCATTCTTCTCGACCCAAAGGGACTGGACATCAGCACCCTTGACGATGTGATCCCAGTGGGCATCGGGTCGACGGTGGGCCTTCTTAGGCTGGGTCAGGACCTGCTTCTTGAAAGCCTCGACAGCGTCGGGGGCAAGAAGAGTGACTTCGTCCCAGACAGCCTTGGCCTCAGATGAGATCTCGCCAAAGAACTTCTCGAGTGGCTTGGTCCAGGCGTTGACGTCGATATCGACGAGAGGCTTGGAGTCGCCGCCGAGAACCTGCTGCTCTTGCAGGCCGATGGCCGAAGAGGCAGCGCCCAGCACGAGCGCGGAGGTTGACAAACGCATTGTCTGCTGTTCGAACAGGCTTCAGTGACTGCTTTGGTTGAAGATGGCGATGGCGAGACTACAGAATACGGAGCAGTTGTTGGACAAGAAAAGTGATGTTGTTGATGGAAGAGAGAGAAGTAAACGCGCAAGCCAGGCAAGCGACGTAATATGGCTGGGGAAGCTCCCCAGACCGTCTGAGACCTCCATCAGATGGGACGCCCGGCAACGCAGCTGACCACTCAACACGCCCCGCGTAGCGGCTAGCTTCCTAGCGGCAGGGGCGATTCAGGCAGTTGCCGGGGGGCTCTACTATCAGATAGCCACTGTAGCTACTCATGTAACTGTTAGTGCAGCATTGCGTGTCACCTACACGCAAGGTACCAAAGGGCCAGGCTAGGCTAGGAAGGCAGCTTGTGCCAACAACTCAAATATCCACTTTATGCTCGATAACGTGACTCGACGACGCTTATCTCACCTTGATGAGTCGTTGATAAGAGGTGCTCGGCTCGGCATTTAGCTCTCCGTCTGAAGGCTGCCTCGTGATGATGAATAAATAAATAAATGCTCTTGTCGATGCAGAGGACTACCAAGTGGCCAATGTTCTCTGACTTGAGCCGTATCTCCGCCCTCAACTCACTCCATGAGTCCAGGAATCATTTAGGTGTGGCCAGGGTGTAAAGCCGGTGCCGGTTCAGTGACGTAGACGATACAGGGCCCGTTTGCTGAGTTACCGTTCACGTCTGAACTGATAATGCACGCACTAAAACATGGTCAGAGGTTGATTACGGTTCGGCTCAAGTGTGTCTCATTTATGGCTGTAAGTTTGCCAGAATCGGAGAGCATCCATTCTCATCAGGCAGCTTGCTCAAATGATTGTAGAACACAAAGGAGACTAGCTAGGGGGTATAAAAAAAAACATGAGAATCGCCTACACCAAAATCCGCCGATCTGCCACCAACCCGATTCTCGTGTTTTTTTATACCCAGGGGACTAGCTTTCATTTTAGTCATAGTTACACTTACCTAGGTTGCTTTGATAGTAATAACCGTCCCTTCTACCACAACCTATTACCTGAGGCGACCGCAATCGACCTACCAACATGGATCCAGCAACGCAAGGCATGAAACATGAGTGAGGCGGCAAGTTGTAAATGATACCTGATGAGACGGGTTATCATGAGCCAAGGATTAGGTTCCTAGTCTCATTACCCTTTGCATGCTCTAGCATTCTATTAATAATCCTTGTTAAGCTTTGGCCTGTAGTTTAAATTCCTCCCTATATTATGTTGCAATTGTATGGAAGAGGCATATTTCTCCTGTTACACAGCAGAAAGACCACGGCTTTATCGGTGTCTATATATCTTACCTAGATGGTTTCTCCTTTTTCCTAGTTTTCCCAGCTTTTGTTTGGGCCAAAACAAGCTTGAGCTTGAGCGTATGCATCTGAAGTATGTGCTCAGGTATAGCCCTTACATGAGCTCCCGCATCCTCAGACTTAAGCCAATGCATAAGGTAAACATTACTTGGCTGGGTGTTACTTAACTTCCCTGGAGGAGCATCCTGTTCAGTAGAGATCATTCACACATCGTTCTTTATCAGAGAAAAGCACACACACACGCCCCCATCCATAGGTTCCCACAAGCTTGGTTTCTAAACCACATGGTCTTTACTGAGTAAGTATTAACTTTAGAGCGGCGGCCTAGTCAAAACGATCGATATTTCGCAAGTCGTTCAGCAGACGAACCTGTATTGTATATTGGAGTTCGTCTCCAGGAACACGCACAAATGAGTTGTATCTGTTCAGATACTGTTTTAGGATCCAGGTAGTCAGCATATTGACTCAAAAGCATTCACCATATACAGAAACCGTAGCCAAGCAGGATGCTAATAGCTTACCACACGACCCAGTCTCCAAATAGTAACATAAGCAGTTACTATTAGACCTTGTCCCCCAAATGGAGAGTCAGACCGATGGCCAAGACATGTCATATCATACGAGGCGAGGCGTATGTTATTCTCAAGCTTGGCGACATGAATGTAGCCAGTGGCTAAGATACAGCACGGTTATTAATTATAGAATGACTATGTAGAAATGTCAGATGAGGGCACTCGGGGATATGCCATGTCCGTAGTAAATATTGCGAGTCTCACAGGATGGAAGTCATGTTGATTCTGGTTATCAGCCAGTTTAGCCCATCCGCATTATTCCAACAACTACTTCTTACGTACAAGAACAGGAAACCAATCAAGCATGGCATCGAAGCTCAGTATATGCCTTATTACTTAGAAAGGGGGGGATGGGTCATGATAAGTGGTTAAATTTATAAAACAAATGGTTACAGAGGTTCGGTACAGAAGTACCTAGGTATCGTTATGACTCAAAAGGTATGACGAAGGCCCTCCATACCACTCACCATCTTCTTTATTGGTGCGGGGCATTACGCTTTGGTTAGGAAATCCAAACCTGACTGACGGCGGGGTCCAGAAAAAAGTTCTGGTAGACAAGGTGAAAGTGCCTACCTACTACCAACTATCTTTATTGCCTTAACTACCCGACCTCGTTTCCACCCAAGTCTCAGCAACTCACTCAACGCAGCGTCTCCTGTTTCCCTTCTCTAATTTATTCCATCTCATAAAACAAACCGCCGATCATGTCTCGCCAGATCCAACAACCATCCAACCAAATCAAGCTCACAAACGTCTCCCTCGTACGCCTCAAGAAGGGAAAGAAGCGCTTTGAGCTCGCCTGCTACAAGAACAAGGTCCTCGAGTGGCGATCCGGGATTGAGACAGATCTCGATAATGTCCTCCAGATCCCAAATGTCTTCCTCAACGTGTCCAAGGGGCAAACAGCGCCTCGTGAGGATCTCGACAAGGCCTTTGGCAAGGGCAAGTCTACCGACGACATCATCCTCGAGATTTTAAAAAAGGGCGAGATGCAAGTCGGCGAGAAAGAGCGCGCGGCGCAGACAGAGCGGGTGCACAACGAAGTTGTCAGCATAGTTGCTAGCAAACTGGTCGATCCGAGAACCAAGCGCGTCTACACTTCTGGCATGATCGAGAAGGCTCTCGACATGCTCAGCTCACAGGCTCACACCGCGACACCAGACAAGAGCGCTGCCGGAAGTGCTGCCGGAACACCTGCGACTGGAGAAGCGGGCGAAGCTAAGCCCAGGGCCCAGCACAACTGGACCGGGGTAAGCACGACCAAGAGCGCAAAGAGCCAGGCCCTTGAAGCTATGAAAGCCCTCATCGCTCATCAGCCCATTCCAGTGGCGAGGGCACGCATGAGACTTCGTATCGCCTGTACCACCAACGTCCTCAAGCAAGCCGTGAAAGGAGCCAAGGGAGGCAACAAGGAAGAAGACGGCGAGCAAAAGGCTGTGGGGACAGTCAAGGATAAGATCCTCAGTTACGTTGAGCAAGTCGAGAGTCAAGATGTCGTTGGTTCGGAATGGGAAGTGGTAGGCTTTGTAGAACCTGGAGCCTTTAAGCCCCTATCCGACTTTATTGGCAATGAGACCAAGGGGCAGGGAAGAGTCGAGGTTTTGGATATGGCTGTCACGCACGAGGATTGAGCAACAAGCACATTTAACCAGTCAAAAGAAAAACCATGATACCCTTGCCTAGAATCATACAGTATCTTTTCCCTTCCGTAGGAATAGCCCACATTGCCCTCAGCTTACCCTGTTGTTGACTTCGTAGAACCATAAACTTCACGTGTTTGTAGCATGGACGCTTCCTGCTCCCTCATAGAACATCTTTACTTAATACTTTTGATTCGTGACTCTGATCTAGAGTACAGCCCTTGCTTTGGCTGCATGTGCCAGAAAGCAAACCTCTCAAAATGCTCAGAAAGATGGAGAAACCAGCCGTCACGCCTGTCCACCCATAACCAACACCCATAAAAAGTTTAACCACCCTTCTTCTTGGAGACACCGACGGTCCTGCCACGGCGACCAGTGGTCTTGGTGTGCTGACCGCGGACACGGAGACCCCAGTAGTGTCGGAGACCACGGTGGGCGCGGATCTTCTTGAGGCGCTCAAGATCCTCACGGAGCTTCGAGTCGACACCGTTGGCAAGAATGTGGGAGTCCTTGCCATCGACGATATCACGCTGTCGGTTGATGAACCACGTGGGGATCTTGTACTGGGTGGGGTTCTGGAGGATGGTGACGATTCGCTCGAGCTCTTCAGAGGTGAGCTCACCAGCGCTATGAATTATTGTCAGTATATTTTGTGCATCTCGTAGGTATCAAGGCTCGCGTACCGCTTGTTCAGATCCACATCGGCCTTCTTGCAAACCAAGTTGGAGTATCGGCGACCGACACCCTTGATCTTGGTCAAGGCGTACATAACCTTTTGCTTTCCGTCAACATTGGTGTTGAGAAGACGGAGAATCTGTCAATCGTTAATATCTGCTTCTTTCGGGTTTCATGTCTCATCATCGATTTCGATGCACACAACGCCCAACAGGATGGCACGAGCGCATTCGAGCGCAACGGTGTCGAATTCGATATCGATGAAGCGATGCTGGAGAGGATGACTTACGAACTGGAAGTTCGACTTCTCTCCCGAGACGAGCGACATGATGGGCAACTTCTACCGAACAGTTGCCGTATGCTCGTTGAATTCGATGATCGGGTGAAGATAGAAGACTGAGTTGCCCTCGCTTATGAAAAAAGGCTGTGGGTGGGTACTAGGGCAAATCCGACTATCTAGCGGGTCACGTGAACTATCTGACTCGGAGCTTGGGTCTCGGTCTCCCCTGACTCATCCAATTTTGAACTAAAAGTTTTTGTACTGCCAGATAATACAATAACTACGACTTTCTTTAATTCAGGTTCAGCGCTCCCGTCAGAACCACTACGAATGAGTGTACTTTGTGAAGCGCCTCGAGTCCGCGTATGGCTCCAATACGAATGGCTTCAATCATCAGACCAGGTAGGACTTTGCTCATCACATGCTGTCAACTTGTGCAGCCCAAGAACCGTACAGAGTGAGTACTTTGCCCGTCTTTTTCCATCGCTCGGTCAGCTCAGCTCGCCAGGCTGATCTTGAGCCGGATACCTCACCTCGGTGCTGGTACAAGACAAGACCAATATCGCAACGTTTTTTGAGTACGGAGTCTTTAGTGTTTTCACCAAATGGAGTCTTCCGTAATTTGACTGTTGTTACATTCCCTAGATTAGTACTTAATTAATCTATCTATCTATTCCCGTTCATTTGTGTACCAGCACGCATCCTTCTATGCTTAGCCTGTCAAATCAATCTGTCCACGAGGACAAGCATTTACTAGTATGTCTATTCCTTACGCCTTGCTCCAAACTCGGGCCATGTTGTTTCCTGTTCTGCACAATGTAGTTGGGTGTCATCGTTCTCGCAAATTCTCAGCTTCCATGACTCCTTTCTGACCACCTAGAAATCGTCAAGCGGGTCGTAACCCTACTGGCATCAGCATTAAACGGGTTCTCTCGGTCAGGAAAACCAAACCTTTTCTCTCTTGAGTTGATGAGCAAGCATTTCTGAGAGATTCGCTCTATCAGTCTCAGCGGTGAGGTTGGTGCTCCTTGTTTGAAGGTGGGTGACTGACACCTCCTTGAGGCCCCGAATGGCCAAAATCTCGTCCAATCCCAGAATGTCGGTGATTCTGACATGGCGATAGGATAGCGGGAAGAATTGCTTCATCAGATCGGCTCGTGGACTGAGGTTGGCAAGCGTGGATTTCGAGATGCTGATGGTCAAACCCTCGAGCTTGTCACATTCTGCAAGCTTTTTGAAAGTTTTTGCCGACTTGGGTCCGCACCAGTGAACCTTGATGTCACGGACATTCTGCACAAGCAGGGGATTACTGTCGAGATGATAGAGAAGTTCGCAGCAGCAGCGGAAACGGACAGCCTTCTTCCGAAAGAAGATGCGAAAGAATTCGTGGTTGAGTGCTGGACCCAAGATGGATGGCAAAGCCTTCATCTGAGGAGTGTGGAAAGACCCGAATTCACGTTCCAGCTGTGGACAGTTGCAGCTCACTTTTCGTGAACTGGGTTTGATACCCTTCGATTTGAAGACGGTATCGACCATCAAGTCGACAATATACTCTCGGATCTCTGCAGGTAGCCTCATGAAAGGGAAACCCTCGATGGGTGGCGGTCGGTCTAGGTCAGGGAGTCACTCGCTGCTTTCTCGGGAACGGTCGGCCAGATGCTAGGGGATTGCTTACCAGCAATTTCGAGGATCTCGGTGCACATCTCAATGATGTCAACACAGGTCTTGGACTCTTGGGGGTCCTTATTGATCATGCGCGCGCACTTGGCGATTGTTGCAGCAACTGATTCTCTGCGGCGAGGACTCAGCCGGACCATGCTTCCCAGCTCTCTGGCGTCGATAACACCGGCGTGAAAGCTTTCCAAACCCTGAAGGAGGACTTGAATGTTCTTGGTCAAGCCATACCGCGTGTGTACGGCCTTGGACTTGAGGGTATACCAAGACTTGCTCGACATGGCGACGACAGTAAAGAAACGCGATATACCTGAAATCGACGACGGTTGTTTTCGATTTTGGTGTGAGACAGAACGTCAGGGAAAGATGATGGCGTTGAGAAGATCATGCAGCAAGCGAAGAGAATCTTTCCGAGTGAAGGAACTCGCCTACCAGGGCGCCCTATTGATTCAGTAACTCGGGCAATGCCTAAGGTACTAAGCTAGGTGGGTGATTCAATGTTGGGACGGAAATCTAGGTATGGATGGGGTCAATCACAGTGGAGGTACATTGTGGTCTTTGCAGCAGGAGCCTGCGCGCAGTGTCAAAATGTGCCTTCCCTTCCCCCGCGCGCGTACGTACCATAGCATAGTAGGTACTTACCTCACATTAACCTAAGGTACTGCCTTTGAGGTGCTGCCTTGACATGGAACGGGCAGGAAAGTTGTCTACTGACCCGAGTCAATGGCAGGTTCCAACTTTGGTGGAACCTCAAATGACAGAGACCATATCAGACACGAAAGCAGACGTGTCTAGTAAATTACCTTAGTACCTAGCCGTTCGAGCTTGGTGAGATGCCAATAACGCAGCGCAAACAAGCGGCACTTACATTGGCGGGTAAGCGCAGATACATTAATGATGATAACGACCATGATATGAAGCTGGAGTTGCAGTATATTGGTGCACCGACAGTATGTATATATATCTATGGTTTACTCTGTGTTACGTCGAATTTCCGCTATCAAGTTACCTATGCATCAGCTCTTTTGTATCTAGATGAGTGCTTGGCATATGTTTACTTAACGTGTAAACGAGTTCCATTCTTTGTTATATGGTTGTTCTGGTGCCTGGCTGTCGACATATGGGTTCTCGATGTCAGTGAACTGACAGAAACATCCTGTGTTACAATAACAGGAGCTGCTCTTTGTTCGGGCTGGAATAAAGCCTATTTGACCACGGATAACGCATAGGCCGTATTGAAAGCAGCGCAATTGTGACATAAACACTCTTCCTAAGACCATTCAACACAAAAATACCACAATCGATGTTGTATTAGTCGTTATACATTGACTAAGGTACCTTACCTCTAATGGGCCTGATTGTTGTGCCAACTCAAGGATTTCTAGCTGGCCATGACTGCAAGTCAGTGCTAAACTGGCCCTGTTAAAAGCTGCCGTTGAAAATTAACTCAAATCACACAAGGAGAAGATATTTGATTGTAAAAACAAGTAGACTTTTATTGGTCTATTCAATTCAACGCCTTTTGGTCTATTTGCCCCAGTGCATGACCAAAATGATATGCAAAACTCCTAAGACAGTCGCTAAATTCAATATGCTATATTCCAAACCACACATGTCGTGGCGTTTCAAATCATTTCATGCGGTTTTCCTTCGGTGCCCGAGACACCGTCGTCAGGAGAAGACGATGAGAAAGACAGCCAATGCGCACTGCTTTTGTTTTGGTGTCTTTTGTTGTTGTGCTCTAATGCAATGATTAAAAGTACTGGTAAGTTCTGAGGTGGTGTTGCTCAGATCGTCAGCTGTTATTCCTGTTTGGGTGGGAACAGGGGCTGATCTTTGAGATGGTTGCATCACCCCAATCGGTGATATGATCGTGAACAGAGACGACTTCCAAAGTCGTGCCACGATGGCGGATGGATGAAATGCAACGCTCCAGGAGGATCTTCCAAGGGAGGTACCTGATTTGGTGTGCCTCAGTAACTTTGCGGGCTTTCGGTGACAGGCGTTGAAACTGGTGTTCTAGAACTCTTCCAAGATTCGCCGCTATCGACAATCGGCGAGCCCGCATGCCCGCCCATCCATTATCATTGACCTTGCCATTTCAGGACACGGACTACGATGATTTGACGGAGGAAGACGAGGAAGATGTCTGATCATCGCTTTCGCTGTCGCCTTCCAGTGAGAAGTCAACAACACTGGGGGCTCTGGTGCAGCAAGGGCTGATGCCAATGAAATTGTCCTCCTCGATTTGTTCGGGACAAGAGGCGCCAAAGGTAAAGTCGAAGTGAGAGAGCATCTCCTGGTGCAGGAGATTCTGTGCGGTCATTGGCTTCTCGCTAGGGTGGGTGATCTTCTTTCCCTTCTTGTTCTTGGTCTTGCGCTCCTTGGTGGCATCCTTGTCCTTAGACCCCCACGTCCAGGTACGGGACAGCTTGTTGACGAGTGATGATTTTGATGATGAGTCGGACTTGTCACTGTTCTGGCTGGACTTGGTCATGGTAGCTGTGATCTTTCCTGGAGTGTTGGCGTCGACGATATTTGTGCTTGAAGCGTCGGAGCGCACAGCGCGGCGGAAGTGCTCTCGGATGGCCATTGTGGATAGTGTATTGTGTGTGGTTGGCTGTAAAACAGGGTTTCTCGTGTTGACAGAGAAAGACGTAAGCTCGATGATAAGTGTATGTTGTTGAGTTGTGATGATCGAGGCAATGAGCTTGGGATTGACAGGATCCTCAACTTTGGGAGTGTTAGAGATAGTATAGGTGATCGTTTATCATAAATGGATAGAACGAGACAAGTGCAGCAGCCAGGACATTTAAAAGGGAATCCCTGGAGACTGGAGATAGAAAAACCCCTCAAAGACTCCGGTCGTTTCGGCCTGTATCCATCCAATGCGTCCTACTGTCCGGCGGCGCCTTGGAAAACCTGGGCTTGGTTGTGGAGGTGGAACCGCCTTGGGGTCCCTGGTTCCGGGTACAAGTGGTACATTGGGGCGTCCTTTGGATTGCCTCTGGGTCTGGTAGCCCCTGGAAATGAAGACGCCGCACTGTGATTAGCTGAAGAGGGTGTCGGGAGCGGAGAATAGCGGAGGAGTCGGCGGCTTATACGGGGTTAGACCCTCAATGAGGTCAGTGTTGGCCAGAACAACTGTATGGAGAAACCCTGTAATGTCGGGCCGGGGAGTTGAAAAGACTACATTCGCTGCCTCGCGACCCTCTCGCGCTTGACCATGTCGTGGTGGATGGATCGGAAGTAACAGTTTTTAGCAACATTGCAGATCCTGGAGTTGCAGACACATTGGATGTTGAGGCTACACCACCTACGCCACTGTTGGTAGGTAAACTATCAGCCTCAAAGGGGCAGGCCGCAGGAGGGCGAAAGGTTGGTTCCTGCCTCTTGGCTTTTAGCCGGTGATCATTTCTATGATCGCTCTGACAGTGACAAGGGTGCTCAAGTGAGATTACGATTGCAGGCACCAGAGTTTTGTGCATGTCGACTGGCCCAAGCTTGGCTGACAGAAGATGGATCCAATAGCGAGCCTTGTTTCTTCCATTTCACCAGCATACCTAGCCAAATGTGTCCGGTAGTCGATATGGAAGTCAGCGGAAACATGGCGTTTAGGAGTTAGGTAAATGATGAGGCGCCTCGTGTATCAGCCGTTAATAATACCTGTCTCATGCCGTCGGTGCCTCTAAAAACAAACTTTTCATCTGGATATCGATTGACGCAGCACAGCAACGGGCCTCATGCATGGTGTAACATTGGCCGTTTTCGACACCACCAGCACCCCATTTAGACTCCAACTTGAATCTAAAAACACGGGGTCGGCGACAAAGTCGAGCCGTGGAGGCCCCCCCGCACGATGCCATCCACTTTATGCCCACTCGCCCATTAGCATTGTTGGGGGTTCTTGGGGTTCAGACGGGGTCGTGAACAGACCGACAAGCTAGACTCTGCGTGGCAAGTCGTTAGGTAGCGTCGTTGTGTGAAGGTAACGCCGAGCTGAGTCCGTTGAACTCCGTCAGAGCTGCTAAAGTGTTGGGCTCAGGTTTCTGAGATCAAGGCCACGGCTCTACCTCCGTAGAACACGTACAGTGGTAGTGACATCCAATTCAACGGCTTGCTTCCACTTCCAGGCACCAAGCAATCTGCAGTCTGATGAAGTCTCTGATGAATGCCACACTCTGCCAAGACTGAGCACGTTGATGCACATTATCCTTGCACGGATATCCTTCTTCACGCTCGAACCACCTGATGCGAATTACGGAGGATGGGCCGAAAAGTCTTTGCTCAAAAGAACTTACGCCACAACCAAGGACCCTTGTCTGGTACTATAAGGTACAAGGTCTCTAGATTGTTATAGAAGGGACCCTCTGTAGTAGCCCTATAGCTATAGGGCCTATAGTGGCGAGTTTAAAATGAATTACTGGCTTGACCCCCTAGAATTAGATTACGATCAGCAGCTGGTTTCTTGCTTAATGTATTTGATGTATCTTAAGATAAGTGGGTCCTCTAGCCACAGTTCTTTTGGGCAAGGACTTTGCGGCCGAACCTCTGTACGTACTGGGGAATCGGCCCTTGCTCGGTTAATACTTGTGAACGATGTCAGTTAAATCCCCATCTATCTTTGGTAGCCAGTCGCGCGACATTGGAGCCCGTTGGAGCCGTCAGCAGAGTTTGCAACTGTCAACTTTGCATGGTGGACTGCTAATACACCGGCAAGTCAATGAATGAAGGGTCCCTGGCTGGCAGGTAGAAAAACTCAGCGTTTTCCCACTCACTTGCTTCTTCCGTTTCTGCAACCATTACGGGCAGGGCAGGACGGAATTCGGCAGAGACCGGACCGGTGTTTGTCACGGTCTTGACCTCTAACATCAAGGCACTCAACTATCGCCGTTCCCGTTAGCTCCCGTAGCAGCCCACAACATGTCTCATTCGCCACTCGCTCTCGGCGCCGGACTTGGCGTCCCGTTACCAGTAGCAGCGCGGATAATTGCTTGAAGTTTGAGCTTATCGAACATGGCAATTTTCCTGATGGTTGGCGGAGAGGTTTTTCTTGAACCGGCTATACTGTACTTGACTTGCGTCTGAGCAATTTTTTGTGTGGTTTCTTTTCCCCATCTTTTTCCTTCTCGTAAGTTCACCTCTTGGCCACCGGAGTTGGCGATGATAAGTTGAAGAGATAACAGCGCCTGGCGTTGGCATGTGGGGAGAACATCAACCTTGTCAATTGAACCCGTCGACAACCGTTCAGGTCCAGGTTGAGCCTGTGCTATTCGCTGATGATTGTCTTGGTGGACCATCTTTGAGTCTCGCCAAGTCTTATCCCCTCTGGTCCACTTCTCGCTTCGAATTTGTTCGGCGTAACTCCGTTCCCTGTGGCGAGGTGATTCCTGCTTGTTGTTCTTGTCTTAACATACGTACATACATACATGGGGGAAGATATCGTGAGCGGTACATCTGGAAATATCTGGTTGCATCATGGTGGTTGTCGCTGTTCTCGGTGACATGGGGCATTTTCAGGGTTTGTTTCTGCCAAGCTGCAGGCATTCCTGTTGCTCGTAAACAATGGCCTGAGGCATCTATGATTTACTATCGATTACGACCAGATCTCTATAGATTTGATAAGATAGTATATAGGTATGTATGATAAGATACGGAGCATTGGCATAAAGCTTCTCGATAACGTCTGTTGAGGCTCTTGGTAAGAGGACCACTTATGTCAGGAGCTAGTAGAGCATACCATCGTGATTTAGGAGCATTTTTTCTGATCGGTCATCGTCATACATTATCCTGAGCGCAGTTGAAAGCTGCTGGGTTACACGCATTTGACTTACTAGGCTCAGTTCAACAGAAATATTCCTACTGACCGCTTCGACTCTGAGCGTCACATCACCACGTGCAGTAGATGTTAGTTCGAGACACGGACAAAAAGGTCCTCAACGTACTCAAATTGCTGCATGTCTTTGATATTATCCGCCATTTTTGATGCAGTGAAATCTCCATACAGGGTAAGTTCCACAGAAGAAGCACAGCGGATGGGGCAGCTACAGGGAACATCAGTGGTCAGTACCACCTGAACATGTGCCGTGACCAATGACATAGCGCGCTACAAGCCCCAGACAGCGATTCGAATCAGGAACGGGGGCCTCGATCAGTAAATTGATGATTAACGTCACGATCTATTGGAGGCGGGCCCAGTGACGCACCTCTTCCTCACTCTGACAGCACGGTACCCGACCTCTCTTTACCTGCCACGCCCGACTCCTGACTCTGAGGCCTGCCTACGACAGGCGCAGCTTCGGTCGCGTGAGTTTTTGATTTGACCACATGATAGAAGATACTTAGTTTCATATCCAACGGACATTTATTGATCCAGCCAGCTCTCCAAAGTAAGGTACTTCGACTATCTTCTGAAGTCCACCGTTTTCTTTACTTGCTTTTCGTCACATTGTCTCGTGTCTGCACGAGATCGGCTCCTCAGCGCCTTTATCTTGCTTGCTTGCTTGTGATAACCATTCGCAGATAAAACAGGTCGCGAACGGATACAGCCCCTGTCACCGTCTTCGTCTGTTCTTAGCAACACAACTGCCGTGCTGTAATTGCCTGAGCTCGCACCTCACACCCTCCCCGCATCCGGACTCTTACCTACGGCAGCTAGATAGCAACAGCTTTAAAGCATCGAGTGTCTCCTCCAGATTCCAGATCGCCAAGCTTGTTCCAATAACTTATTGTCGAACACCGCTGTGATGGGCGCGGAAGACACTGGGAGTGGTGGGCTACCAGCCTCTCCCTCATCCTCTAATCCACGAAGAACCGGCGGCAGCCAGTCTATCGCTCGAGGCGCCAACACACAAGGCTACGACGAACAATCACCTCTACTAAACAATGACGCCAACAATGTCCATGGGGGAGCGGACGATTCACAGGTCACAAAGAGCATATGGTATTTGCTCATATTGACCATCAGCATTGGTGGTCTCCAGATCGCATGGTCTGTCGAGCTTTCAAACGGATCACCATATCTTCTATCCCTTGGCTTGAGCAAGTCTCTCATGGCTCTCGTCTGGATTGCTGGACCCTTGACCGGCACCCTTGTTCAGCCATATGTGGGTATGCTCAGCGACAATTGCCGCCTGCCCATGGGTAAGAGAAAACCGTTCATGATCGGGGGATCTGTTGCCACCATCCTCTCCCTCTTGTTTCTTGCATGGGCCAAAGAGATTGTCGGTGGTGCTGCTGGACTCATGGGTTTTGACCCAGAGTCTAAAGATGTGAAAACAACAACTATCGTGGTCGCAGTCATTGGTGTTTACGTGCTCGATTTCGCCATCAACACTGTCCAGGCGTCCATTCGTGCTTTCATCGTCGACTGTGCGCCAGCTCACCAGCAAGAATCTGCCAATGCCATGGCCAGTCGGATCACCGGATTTGGTAACATCGTTGGATACATTGCTGGATATGTTGACTTGACCCGTCACCTTGGCTTCCTTGGGAGGACGCAATTCCAGATCCTCTGTGCCATCGCATGTTTTGCCCTTGCCTTGACCGTGTTTGTGAGCGCCGCCTTCATCAAGGAGAGGGATCCCCGGCTTGACGGCACCGCCAAAAAAGAACAACAAGGCGTTTTCTCCTTCTTCTTCACTATTTTCAAGTCGATCAAACGCCTTCCGCCTCAGATCAAGAGGGTATGCGAGGTCCAGTTCTGCGCCTGGGTCGGCTTCTTCCCTCTGTTGTTCTATACGTCCTCATATATCGGAGAGATCTACGTCGAGCCATACCTCCAAGCGAATCCCCACATGTCTCCGGAACAGCTCAACAAACTGTATGAGCAAGCGACCCGCATTGGTACCTTTGCACTTCTCATCAACTCGATCGTGAGCTTGCTCACAAATGTATTCCTTCCGTTTTTCATTGCGCCAACGTACGATAGCCAGCCAGTCACCGGTATTCCGGGAGAGAGCCCTGCAGGTTACTATGACTCGGACGAAGATGAGAAGCCCTCTTGGTTAGACAAGCTGGCCATTCCGGGCCTGACCCTCAAGCGTGCTTGGTTTCTGTCCCTCCTTCTTTTTGCTGGGTGCATGTTCGCCACGCTTTTCGTCCGGACCGTAAAGGCGGCCACCGTGCTTGTTGGCCTTGTTGGTATCACCTGGGCGATGACACTGTGGGCTCCATGGGCCATCATCAGTGCCGAGATCAGCCGGAGAGATGCCCTGATACGAGCTCAAAAGATACGATTGGCGGCCGCCAGAGCAAACAATGACGGTACCGCAGATGACGAGGAGGAAGAAATCGATCAGGCTGGAGTGATCCTCGGCATCCACAACATGGCGATTGCGGCACCTCAAATCATTGCTACTGTTGGTTCCAGTATCATCTTCAAGCTCTGGCAGAAGCCCAGAGGCACACCGGGAGACCACAGTATTTCTATTGTGTTCGCTCTTGGTGGAGCTTGTGTCCTGATCGCATCATTCTTCGTTGCCAAGATCAAGGATGATGCTTCCATGCCAGCTGATGTTATGATCGAAGCCGAACAGGGTCGGAGTGGGACAGAAGAGGTCCCGGAACGCCGACCTCTCAGCAGGCGCAAGTCTACCAAAGACCAGCTTCCTAGAGCAACCCAGGCCAGGGCCACACTGACACGACACAAGAGTTTCGGAGGTGCCGAAATGCACTAAGAGCATCGATCCACACACCCACAGACAGACAGACAGGCAGACAGAGAGAGAGAGAGAGAGGTACACTCCCTTGAATGAAGCATGGGAAGGCGTAGGGTAAGGCATCTGGATTGGCATTTGGCTCTATTTACTAAGCCCAGGAGCATATGGAGGGATGGAATACCGATTTTCTTTTAGTTAATTTGATAAGTACCTAATGCTAGAAGCCCTAGGTATGCTGGGCCATAGGTTGGATGTTAGAACCACAGTTTCATGTTTAAGCTTAGATCAAGACATCACATTCGTTCCCCAGCTCGTCTCCACCTGATATACATCGCTCAACCACCCAAGCCTACCCATCCATCACCAAGACGTACAACATCCCTAGCGGAGCCCATGCCCCGAAATCAATCCATTGGATTCGGGTCTGCTGATTTGGGACCGCACATGCCAATAGAGACCCTTGTCTCGCCAGGAAGAGGACCAAGGGTAGGATTGATGGTGGTGAAAGGGATGAAGTGAAAGCACCACAAGACATCGTCATCCTCGCCACAATAGCTGTAGTCACAGTCAAACGACTCTTTGGGAGCAGCTGTGACGGCAGGGGCATCTGTGTCGCAAGCCTCTGGGTTGTGAGGGAGGGCCAGGGCTGTTGAGGCAAAGAGTAAGACGAGATAGTTGATGGGAAACATTTCGAAAGTTGTAAAGCTTCTGTGACGAATTTGGGTCAAGACTTTCTGTTGTCCAAGTTTCCAGGAGAGGAGGGGATCTTTATAGAGAACCATGGCCAGACAAGTGCTACATTCGAGAAGGCTTCCCTGTACTCGATTCGAACAACAGGTACTTGTTTGCGTTGCAGATGATGGTATATAACACTCACATGATACTGCAGCTAGGTTCCATATGGACCAGAACAACAGAGAGCAAGGGCAGTAAGCGAAACGCCGCTTATGGAATCGGCAGATGGGATTTGCGCCTACTATACCCGGGGCAAAGAATTTCACAAGGCGAATGAATGGGCCGAGAAAGTGTGAGACCAGGCGGGAATGTTGTACTTGGGAAGACTGAAAGCCAACAGAACAGTCTCTGTCTGGTGACTAGTTAGCAAATAGATACCTATCTAGGTATACACCGGCCCTCAGGTGGCTGGCTCTCTTTTTACATGGATAGCATCTTGTTTCCGGCCTTCACCCACAACGACATAATAACTCCGATGCTGGTTACCCAAACCAAACTGCGTACCCGTGATAGTCGGGGAATATCCTGCAACCACAGGTAAGCGATGTTGTACAGGAGACGGCTCACAACAAAGCCGAGGCCGAGAATATTGATTGTTGGCGCTGGTACGGCAGCGAAATTTGCGGCCAAGATACCTGCGGCATAGCAACCGATAGTTTCGAGGCCGTTTTCTGTGGCAGCCTTTGCACGGAGGAGGAATTGTTTATGCTGGGATCGTTAGTGGGAGTCGTGGGACAATCGGGCAACCAAGCTTACAGATTTATCAAGAGTCTGACAATTGGCTATTCTGTCCCTGTGAAAGCGAGGGTTACAGTTGTCGTAGGTCCCTTTGGCACCTGCGGTGATGGTGTAGGCGTGAGGGAACGTGATGATGAAGAATGCAGCTGGGACCTATAAGAGAAGCATTAAGTTGAGAAGTCGTTGGCCACGAGGAGAAAAGGGCCGTACTGTGAAGAAGGAATAGTTCCTTGTGAGATCGAGACCGAGAAAAGACTCCATTGTGGGTGGTTTGTTAGGGAGGGAGTCGTACTGTGATGAAGAGAGAGTTCAGTTGAATGGGTTGATGATGAATGATTGGAGGAGACCTCTGTTTTTAATCACAAACGACAACAACAGCAACAGCAACAGCAACAACTCCTTACTACAACATTCACAATGTCTGCTCTTCCTCCTCAAAAGTTCCTCCCTCTCACCCCGGCTCCCAAGTCTTCTTTCCTGTCTCTCGCCCCAGCCACTTCTCCCTCATACCCTCAGAAGCCCGCTGCCCGCTCTCACACTCGTCCCTCTGCTCCTCGACGAGCCTCGACTGAGTCGTCCAGCTCAAGCTCCAGCTCCAACAACACCTACCGCATCCTCAAGCTTGGGCCTGTCCACTACGGCGAGCATGCCGATGAGCACAAGACCGACTTTCATGATGTTATCCTTCACTAAAGAAAGTCACGGTAACCTTTGTGTGAATGGCGTGCTTTTGTGAGAAAGGTGTGAAATTATGACAGCGCAAGCGATGATTTTATTTTATTCATTTCAATTTTTATGAATATGGCACAACCAACAACAAAAATTACAGGATACCACTTTGATTTGACAAATTTTTGAATCAACAGAATAAGAAGAAAAAAACAAGGCTAAAAAAGAAAAAAGAAAAAAGAAAAAAGCAAGAGGTGAACAAAAAGGAACCCCCCAACTGTGGAAGAAGATGGGGGGTGGGCATCTTCAGCTTCGGTTGAATGGAACAAGAGAATCGAATCATACGGGATTAGGATTGAGGTGGGCGGCTTTGGTCTGGATCCTGTGAAAGCAAGAGTCTTGAAAGACTGAACAAGAAAATTGAAGCGAGGTTTATGCTGTTTTGCATTTCCTTATTTTATGATATCTCTCTCACATTATTTGTCTATCACTGAGAAACGAAAGGAGAAAGAAAAGAAAAATTAGTGGAATCGAAGAGGGGAGGACTTTACTGTCTCTATTCCCTAGGTACCTAAGGATGCTGGAAACATTGGATCTTGGCCTACAGTAGCACTATTGATAGCGGCAAATCATGATTCCAGTCTTTTCCGGATAAAGCAAAGAGTGTCGAATCTGCAACCAGAAGGGTCCCTGAGTGACGATGATCATACACACGATACAGTCAATGGGCATTTCGGCATTGAGACCGTGTGCCATGGATAGAAATGCGGTGCCTTTGGGGGTGCGGTATGGGCGGTAAGCCAATGTGAGATTGACAGACAGATAGATAGATTTGTAAGGCTGCCCTATCAGTTAGCGTAGTTGCAACACGGGTCTCTTCTCTTTTCAGTCTGAAGTCATTGATCTTCGGTCTTATTATTTGGCATAGATAGCAAAGTGTGGGCAATTGACGTGAATCAATGAGTTGTCCTTTTCACTTTCTGTCCATTCATTCATCCATCCCATGATCTGTAAAGGTTTACATACAAACACACACACACACACACATGCAATGTCTGCCTACACACCCATAAACTTTCCAGAAAATACCGGCATTTCATTGATTCTAGACCGATCATGTGCAAACGCACAGAAAAGATGGTCTAGATAGCCTGGATAGCGTAGCATTACCGCGCCGCGTCCTGCATTGCATTGCATGGAAACCGGCCCAAAAGGAATAAATAGAAAAGAAAAAAAGAGAACGTGCCATGAATAGCCGGAGCCTGCCGCCCGCGCAGACTTGCTATATCCGACTGTTATTTAATAACCATGATCTGTTTACACACGATCCAATCAGATTCTCATGGTCTTTTTGTCCAGGCTCTCGGTAGACTCAGGGCCCGGGGTAGTAGTTTCGGGAGGTGACCGAGAAACCTGCATGACGTCCACTGAATTTTTCACCTTTTCACTTTTTTCCTCTTGTTTCTTTATTTTGTCGGTATTTCCTGTCAAAATCCCACTCTTTTCATAAATGCACAACATGGGGGGCGGAGAGTATCACCGGCCTTTTCAAGTTACCTTTAGCTTAGTCAAGCGGCCAAGGTACACAGCATTATTTGCGTCAGAGATAAGAAAAGGCAAAACAAAGATGGGCGTTTCTTCTAAAAGTATCCGACCTGAAAACCATAAATGTGTCAGCTTATTATCCCATAAAACACCACGAAGCGTGGGTGGTGATAGAAAAAGGACCCCCAAACTAGGCTTCATTCATCCTCCTCAACGCGTGGGCCAATTGCGGGGGAAGCGGCTTGTCTCACAAAGTCAATTGGTAAAAAAAATCATGAGACACGGAAATACGTCATTCCTCATCTTAAAGCTCGTTCGTTGCGCGTGACCTGCTTTTGCTATCGGAAGCTGACGGTGATCCCTCGGTGTTCCGACGGGGATATCGAGGCGTGTATGTAGGTATATACTGTCGAACAATTATAATTGCTATGGTTGGTTAGGAACGGACTGTTTCAGAGACTGTGCTCGTGTACGGAGGCGCATTTGAGACAAGAGGTATGTATGAATAAGATTGCGTGTATAGCAAGGCTACACCAGGAGAAAGGTTAAACAGCATCGCCAAGACGGCACACAAGATGCCCATGCTGATCACTCTTATTCTACCGTACGTACCTGTCCAGAGGTCCAAGCATATTGCGCTATGATAGATCTCGTGACGAGTTTATGAGTTTACTCAATTTAAGCCTAACCTTTAGTCTCTGCATCCTTGACACTTAATGATACACTTCCATACTAGAGATAACATAGCGATAACTGGCAACTTGTGAACTCCCCTTTGTCGCTCGCAGATATCCACCCTTTAGCATGATGATCTAGGTATCAGAGAAACCTTCACATGTTGATCAATTGCTAGGACTAACCCTCTCGTACACCCTCTTCTTCATCGAATACAAAGCCACTGCAAATCTCGGCTTCTGTGCCGTCTCTGACCGTCCATAATCCGCCACGTACAGCACAACACACACCCTCAGCTTTTGATTCATGTCCCACAAGCGTCAAATGCTGAAGGATCATCCTTATGGTAATTCAGTCGTCTTGCTTGTGATGGCTTGCCTGTCTTAGGGGAGGAAAGAAACTTCGGGACCCTGATCCTAAATGACAAAAAGACTCTGGTAACTTAGCATAAGTTTAGGATGAGTTTAGGATACCGTTGCCAGATTTCGGATACCTTTGCTAAGTTTATTTTGACACCTTATATCAAGGCCTGATATTTTCCTACTTCCCGAGACCTGCGAAAATCACCACTTCTTCTCAGTGCCTACGACCGTGATCTCCTTTCTCTCTGGATCTACCACGCGAATTATCTCCCGCCAATCAATCTCCACCCTCTCCCGCTCCCGTCCCGGGTCTCCACTCTCCGCCCCGCATCCTCCGGCATGGCTAGCATGGAACCGACACCATGTCTTTGCATGCCGCGCGTCTGCCCACAACCGCGCTGACAGTAAGTACGGATCTGCCAGGACACGCAGTAGGCCCTCCAGAGGTGGTCGTGCAAACATGTCCAGATCTTTTCCCGGCTTGGCAGGGCGGAAATGGACCGGAGTCCTCGGCTCGATGGGGGTGCGAACCCAGACTGTGAGGTAATCCATTCTTCCTTGCACAGCTAACTCCGTGAGTAATGGTATAATATCTGTCCCTATCCATCCTCTCAAGCGATCAATTCGCACTTCCAGTCTCGCTATTCTGCGTAGAGCATCTCGTGTTGTGAGCAGCGTAGCTCGGCCGGCAAGTCTGTCGTCGGCTCCGGGCGGAGCGCTCTGTAATTCTCTGCGGATGTGTTGTGCATGGGGTCCCGATGCGTCCAGTAAGAACTCGTTTCCTGCATACAGCAGCGGAGTGGCGATGGTGTGTAGCGCTGGGTGAGAGAGGAGAATGGGCAGCGGGTTGACGGTTGATCTGGTGCACGGGCAGAGACATATGGGCGTGAAAGATGTAACAAGTGGCTTCAGGATGATGCTGAGGATATCCACGGGGAGGTCCAGGAGGTTGAGGCTGTTGGCCTCCGAGGTGGTCATGATGGCGGCGATGTCTATGATGACGACTGCTGGATACTGAACTAGCGAGATATCACTGGTTCGTTCGGTGACTGTGGCATTCTACTACCCAGACCCCAGATGCCTACAGCCCAATATTTCCGGTTTCCGTGAAGCTGCAGCCTTCTTGCGAAACATGTCGTTAGAATAGGATTGTGTTGCGAGGTTCAAGTTGAACAGCCAGTGGCGGCTAAGCATAATATCCCCCGCGACCAATAAGTGGGGCATCTGAAGAGCTTCTACTCTGCAGAAGCAGGCCAATACAAGATAAAATTCTAGACTCAGATCACAGCTGTACTTTATTTAGATGGTGTGAAGCTGGTATTTCGACACGATGTCGGTGGGATAGAGTTGTCGGTTATTGCAAACTATTGATACATATATACGCTGGGAGAGGAATGAAAACTTGAGGACCCGGGCTGAATAAGAAAAGGATCAAGACAACTTGGTATAAGTTTGGTATACTTTTTGCTAATCTTATTTTAACATCTCATATTGGTATAAGGCCCTTCGTTGGCGGCAACTTTTGAAGGGCCGGTATGCGCCTCGAGATTCATTATCTAGACATCATTGCCTGCACACTCTCACCTTTTCAATCCAGTCTTTCACTCTCACTACTTCACCATAAGCCTCTGCACATCTAACATGAAACTTACAGTCCAAGCAAGTATTCTGGTTCACTCAAATCTGCATGATCCATTCTTACCTAGTCGTTGGTTTCACCCTCGATAGCGACATTAACATTAGCAAACAGCCCTCAGAGATGGCAGTAAGACCCAAATGTCGATGCTTCTCAGCTCTACTTAAGAATCGCAAGAAAGGGCCATAAAATCAGTGAAAGATGAGGCATTGAATAACATGCAATTTGACACAGTGATCAGTGTCATCAACAACGTCCGAAGCGAAACGCCGCCTAAGGTTTGGCAAGAGATCGCCGCGTTACTGAGAAGAAAGGAATGTGCCGTCAATATGACCAACAGAAGCCAGCGCAGATTTTACAAATTCCTCAGTGGGAATGGGTGGGTTCCTAAATAATTGTCGTTCTCTATGCGAGCTGTTATTGCAACTACATGGCCAAAGATCCCAGGCTATGTCGAGATTGCTGGGGAGAGATTCTTTGTTGGCTGCTAATGCACTGCACCAACTCCTCAATGAATCATTGAATCATATTGAGATCAATATGGAGATACAATGCAAAGATGGATGAATAGAAGAAAGTGTGGTGCAAGTCTATTGCGTTGGTACCTAACTAACAAACCGCTATCTCGAATTGCATCTCTAGGCCGGATGATGAAAACGCCTTGGAATATTGCAACTTCCATATACAGAGCAGAACCAGAAGAATTCCAGAACAACGCCTAGGGATATTGGTGTGTCCACCGTGCTAAGTCCTCTTATCTCTCTTTGTTAAAACACTCCAAAGCCAGAAAACTTGTCTGCCAAAGTGCCAAGCAATAACCTCCCGCCCAAACTTCAGCTCGTCCACCATCTCGCCCATTGTGTTGCTGTGACTGTTCCCGAAAGAACTGTTTCATGGCGAGGTCCGATGGTTGTTCCTGTGGCGGCTCTTCCGCCCCTTCAGCCTCATAAGAAACTGTTGAACATTTGCCTGTTACTCCTCCTCCGTATCGGACGGCTCTTTGACCTTTTCCCCGAGTGTTCTGTCATCATCAATGAGATCCTTGATTCCTTTGCCTCGATCCCCTTCCAGTCCCTCAGCGTGCGTCTCCCAAGTGCGATATCCGCCCTGGTTCTTTGCACTGAGCTTTCTGTTGCGATCAGAGAGCTTCTCGATTTCTTCATCTCGATTCCTGATCTGACCTTCCAATTGCCGGACATAGGACTGCAGATCGTGCTCCTTTTCAGCCGCATCTCTGAGGCTTGTCTTGAGCGCTTCGACACGATTGAAGAGCCCTCTGAAGTCTTTGTCTCCGTCTTTGAACCTTCGATCACGTTGACGCTCCAGTTTCTTGATTTGCGCAGCTTGGTGTTTGATGACTCCGTTCTTTTCGCTGATAAGCTCGTCCCGTGCCTTAATTTTCCTTTTGAGAAAGGAAACTTTGCCTTGTTCCGGGCCCTCAGCACCTGAGGTCTTTTGCACATTGGGCGGCTCTGGGATGTCACGGTTGGGCGAAGCGGTAGTTCGGTCAACCTTGTGCTTTTTGGCGGCTCTTTCGAAAACATCGCCCGGATTCGACTTGCGCTTGTAATCCTCTTTGTTGTTGTCTTTGGAATGTCCATCGCTAACATCCGAGAGAGGGTAGTCGTCCCCCGTAACAAAATTTCCCTCATACTTGAGGAGTGCCTCCTCCTCTGAGACGTTTTTAGGGAAGAAAGGTTGTGTATCAGGGAACCTCTGCCCCCAAAGCCGTGACATTTCTTCTGCGATGCCAAGGACGAGCCGGTGGGATGGCCAAATAGCCGCCACAACCAACCAGGCTGAGAAGTTCAGCACTTTGGTGCGTCCCTGGCCGCTAAGCATAGTATAGAATTTGAATCGGTTAAGGTGGCGCGGGCTATCTACCCATTTCTCGTGTCGGAGAAACCTGGCGACCCTGAGCTGAATCGCCTTGGGCATGTCGGGACACATCTGGTTGTAGTTGCTCAGGACACTCTGGACCCGAGATCGAGCCATTGAGGCGTCTTGACATTTTCTGATCTTGACACGAAACTCTTCCATCCTCAGAGAGTAGGGGTCGCGATCAGATTGCCCTCTGTCGACGTGTGCCATCTTGATGAACGCTATTGAACTGTCAGTATATGTATAGAAGGAAGAAAGGGCAATTGACACCTGAACACAAGGAAGAGTAAGAGATAAGGTATGAAAGAGGATCGCGAAAGTGCATTTTGGCCCCCCTGCGAGAATTGCCAAAAAGCAAGGGAAGAAAGGGAAGATACTGTTGGATGGGACATCACTTACCAGAATCTGGCTCTGCTGTTAGCGCTATGAGAGAAGGTGTGATAAACAGATTAGAACAGCGTTTGATGGTAACAAGAATGGGATATGAACTTGGATCTGAGGTAGGCTAGGTAGCATTGCCATCGTGATTATGTGGCACTTGCTTCGTAAATTACCGATTCTCCAGGAAATCCGGATGCTCCATCAATTTATCAAGTTGAGAGACAAATCACATATACCTCTCATTCCCAACCAGAGCTGCTAAAGTCGGATTCGAAGACCCATGGCAGTCCAGCTTTAGCGCCAGCGTCCAGAAGGTCAGTGAATCAGTGGCTCGACGAGACAGAGAGAGAGAGTGTGTGTGTGTGTAGTCCCGGTCTGCAACTGGAGCAGAGCAAGACTCATCCTCGACCCGGCGCGAAAGAAGTTCGCCAGTCTTGTTAGACTGCACCACAATTACAGCCCATGGGAAATCTCTTTCGGAGTTCTCACCAACCGGCCGCATAAGCCAATGTGATGAGAACGGGGATAGTTACAGATGGAGGTGGTCATGTCGTGGGCCGGCACGACACGTCCCGCATAATACGGATTGCGAAGGGGGAAACGGGAGGACAACGGCATTTACTGCAAGCGAGATGTGGAGGTTACATTTCCTGAAGATATTGACTGTTTGTACCATACGGGCCGGAGAGTTTTTTATTCTTTTGAGTCAGGCGGGTGTCGCTGTGTGACGGTTTTCGGGACGTACAGATTTTTTGGCAGTTGTACTCATACTGTACGACTACCAATAATAGAAGAGAAAAGATGAGGCAAAGGTCTCGGTTGCTGGATTGTCAGATTTTGAAGGGTAGTAAAATACGACCTGTTGCAATTGACAAGGATGAGTTCCTTCGCTAGGAGGGTAAAACACTGCAGGTATCACGACCTGCATTTGGCCCTTGTGTCATCAAGTCGACAAATAGAGTATTTGACAGATAAGCTCATATGAAATTTCAGTCATCAAGAGATTACGCTTTAGAGTAACTGAATTAGATTGAGTTGAGTGTCGTATGCTCATGGGTTGATTTTTACTCAGGACTCGCTCACCCCAGCAATGAGATACCATGAAACCAGGTCACATGATCAGTGACGTCTGCACGCACAGCTGCTCGTCTCAACTCCACCCAGCCCAACGCCAACAGGGCAGGGCCAGGGGTGTTTGATAACTGATCGAATGGCCCAGGTACTAAAGCTTGGTCGACCGGAAGTGGAAGAAAAAGAGAAGACGCCATCTCTATGCTAATAAACCAATCGAGAAAGACGCAGGAAGGATTAGTTTCCTCCTCACCGACTGAATACACCAACTATCGACTAACTAAAATCTACATGAATCGGACTCAGCTTGCACTAGTCTACTCGGCCTTAGAGAGGGCTGAGACTACCTTAGTCTAGTACATGCACATAGATATTGGGCGCTTAAATGTCTACGTGGTGACAGATTCTCCCAGTGAGACATCTCCCTGAACTCTGCCTTACCTTAATCGCTACCAGAAGGAACAGAAGGTTCATATCCAATTGGACTAACTTGGCGAAAGGGTCCCCGATGCACGACTCACGATGCCGTTGGTAGCATCTATACAAGAGGCTGACTTATACGGACATTCCTTTCTGTAGAGACCCATAGCTCAGACCTTGAGAGGCGGTGACATCAAACCTCGTGCACAGTCCGAATAGACGCCCACGAGGCGTTTTCATCTCTCCAGAACCCACAATGAGGCTGTAGAACGAAATATATTCAAAACATATTCCTTTGTTCCATCATTCATGGGTTGGTTGTGGCTTTCTTTAGGGCCGTTGTTATGGCCGTGGCGTAGCGTGGCGTAGGGGGGGTCGCAGATTGGGCCAGAGGATCAGTGCGACTGTTAGTGGGGGCAAACTTAAACTGACGACTTCAACCTGACTTCCATTGGAACATAGAAGAACAAAATGTATAAGATCATGCGAGAATTAAGATCGAGAACAAGACAGGTCAGCATTTGTCCACCAAGTAGAAGCAAAAGTTAAGGCTATTAGCGAGGATACCCCAGTTCTTCGAAATCTCGCCTAGGGACAGCAGAGACATGGGGCCTGGTCATTTCTTTATTCACACGCCCCCAGTCATACTCCTCTCCAACTCAATCGAGCAAGGGGGCACCTAACCCATGCATGTCAAAACGGTTTGTGAGATAAAGTAAAGATGCAATTCAAACTATCAATGAAAGTAGATAGGTAAGTGTGGAAGAAGAAGTAGAAGAATAAAAACAAGAACAGGACGAAAATAAACCACGTTGATGCCCTCTGATTGCCGGAAATGACTGTATCACCATCTCATCTGTGCTGTTCTGGGAGTCCGAGTTTGTTGCCAAACAACTCCAAGGATACCACGGTCCATCTATGGATTCAGAAACAAATCCAAAAAATGTATAAGAAGTCCCCTCCATGATCGCCATGCGTTTCCACCTTGCGCGGGGCAGCCAAAGCTTTTGCAGATCTAAGAATCCGCTCATAACTTTTCTCCCTTTCTTCGAGGGTATCGAGGATCGCTATACGTGACACTCGTTAGCTGCACTGCAGCGTAGAGGCTCGCTTTCAAAGGGAAACTCAGATACCAACCTACTAGGTCGCCCGAGGAGGGTTAGGGCACTGAGGGCGTCCACAGTAGCCTTCCCAAGTCGTCGAGCCCTGATCGGTGACATTGCTCGTGCAGCGGCAGGAGGTGCCGGGCTGAGGATCAAGGTTAGAAACAGTGCAGCCACACTGAGTCCAGTGCTGGGTAGTTCTCCAGTAGCACATGGTTGCTGATGGCTTTCAAGTTGGAACCTTGGAGAGAATGCAAGAGAGTTTTTGTCTGTTGTTGAAGCTAAAGACTTTGTCTTGGTGCTTCAATATATAGCAACAAACTGGCGTTGTGCGAGGATTGGTTTGTCTGACAACCGGGGCTAGTTGACTCAAGAGATGACTGGCAGTTCACAGCCGTGATCCGAGAAGTTTGTGTGAGTATTTGGTCACACTTGTCCCGACGGGTGTGGCTTTGTGTACCTGACGGAAAGAGGCTTGCTGCCGTGGTAGACTATGGAGGATTGGCACCAAAATATGGCTGAGGATTGGGGTTGAAGCTGAAGGATGATGAGACTTTCAAAGGAAGAGATCTTCAGATTTATGATATGGGATATTGAGTGTAGAATGGTGGTTTGAAGTGCTGTTGAGTCTGAGCTGTGAATATTCGATTGATGCAGATGTCCTTGGCCCTTATATAGCTGGTGAAACGGTCCCGAGGGTTTGGAAACGATTATGACTGAGCGAGGCAGTTTACTGTCCATGACACTATGTGTACAGTTGTCTTGGAGATTCCACAATGTGAAAGTCGAAATAACCCTCAAAACGAGAGCAAGGAAGACGGATTGTTGGTCCTGTTTGCACTTCCCAGGTGTTGAAAGACCAGGAGCTAGGTTGCTTAGATAGGATGGTTGGTTAGCTACCTAGTCAGTTGGCTCTGGGTCGGCCAGGGGGTGAGGCTTGGAGGGGGTGTGTGTTGGTGCGCAAAATGTACTGCCAGGCACTCCTCTTTCGTCTCGGCCCTCTGTCCCCGCAAACACCACAGAAAAGAGGCGAGGGGAATTCTGGAAAAGGAGACAATCAGCTTGTAAACTGAGATATAACCTCCGAGCCCCGAATCAGGTCGCTTGTGTGCCGCAACATCACGCTCTGTTGGCAGGCCGGTCCAAGGGTTGACTTACGTCAAGGCACATCAGTCCACAAGGGAGTTTTGGGTAGACCAACAGCATTAGAATCCGATACAGGTCTGAGAGCCCTCATAGAATTCCACCCGGTGTGACTGTGAAGGACATTGTGCGAGCATGTTGGCTTCAATGGGGCCCTTTGTAGAATGGGTCATCGTGCATCCACACTCTGCGGACATGTTCTTCTGCATTTGAGGGGAACCACCATCATGCATCTCAAATCAGTCGTCAACATCATGGTCGCAGTTAGAGGGGCCAGAGGTCGCGATTTCTTTATGTAGTTGGATCCGGTTTGTTTGATGCTCGATTGCCTGCCGTGAGTAGTGGCCGGCTGCCACACGTTGCAGCCTGTGAACACTCACTAGTTTAGTTTGGTAATGGCATTGTACAAACTTTTATCGAGGAGCAGGACAGGTCGGACAACATGATGAGCTACTGTCTCGTAGCCCAATTCCTTCAAATGCTGGAAAAACTGATGTTGAACGATTCTTGCATCCGTAATAGAAGGCATACGTCAAAGATCCAAGCTCCCTTGCAAGCTGATGGCTTGCTCAATGAGCGGGAAAGCTCGCCCCGAGTTCCCGCTAGCAAAGCTGCAGGCCTGACGTTCAGATGACAGCCTGTACCCATGCTACCATCCATTACTCGAAACCCTTCAGAACACTGAAGCTGAACCTGGCCAGAGAGTATGACGCTGGCAATTGGTTTGTTTCAGCAAACAAGTAAGACGGCTTTGCCGAAGTCGCCGTTTTTTGCAGCTGCCACATGGACGTGGCAGCTCTGTACCTGCCACCCTCCTATTGATGCCTCTCCCGCTGTCGACTTAAATTGCGACCAACAGATACCGGCTTGTGTCATGACGCCACAGAAATTGGTATTTTTCATGAATGCGGGCCCCTGGACGTTCTTTCCATCTCCCTGGTGACCTACCAACTTGTTCTTCGGCACATCTCGAGGAAAATTTCTTCCTTCGTGTGTCTGTTGGTCCGGGTTCTGCTATTGTTCCTTGTCCCTTGGCTAAGCTAAGACGCGAGAGGCGTTAGACGCCTCGTGGAGCTAGCGGATGTTGCACATGATCCGCGAAGAGACCATTAATCCCTATGTAGATTAGGTAGACGACGGGATGTAGGGTCGTTCTGGGGTTGTCAAAGGTCAAAGGGTCAGGTACTAGTTAGCTGTGTTTGAGAGTGAACAAAGAAAGACTGCAGAACCCTGCCAGCCACTAAGGTTTGCACGTATCAACACCATTATGGAGATGCATATAACTAGTACATGACAACGGCCTATGTGAGTGGAAGTATACATATCGCGCTTGTATCAGCGGATCAAACTTTCGTTGCCGAGTTTGACGCGGCGGATGAAAGTAACGCAGTTGCTTTGAGCAATTCACCTCGTGAAGGCGACCTGCTCGGAGTCATGTCCAGGTGGATATGCGGGCCAGATCATGCGCGCGGGCCGCCGAAGGCACACCATGAGAATACCCGCAACGAGCCAACAACACATGTAGATGCCAAGGGGAGCAGACGTCGGCTGTTCCTGATACTGGAAGTATCTTCAGCGATCATCACGGAAAGTGTGAGGAATGTAGCCAACCGTGTATCCACAGCTCGTAAAGACGGGGATGATTCCTGATTGTGCGTCATGTCTCTTTGTTCTATACTCCACAAATGGTATTATCTGCGCCTCGTTCTCGACTATGAGGTCGTGCATACGGAAACGAACGACATGGAGTCTGGGATAGCTTCACACAATTCCGCGCTGCTGCATGACTCGATGCACGAAGGGGGAGCTTGGTCACACATGGTTGTGGTTGACCATTCCCTTCTCGATGATGAGAAGTGTGACAAAGCTGTAGTTTGTGCGTTCCACTATCCCAAAGTGCCCCATGTTGTGCCATGCCATATCATGCCATATTCAAGTTGATATATGCCGGTTTGTCCATTCCGGGTCTTGGGATCTTCATCAGAAAAGTTGTGTGGGTGTGAAACTATATGTCGAGTGATGATGCCGAAGCGGGCCAATATCGACATGGAAGTTAAAGGAGACTTTCATTTTGGATGCTGTCTGTTGGTGAAGTGGAAATACAACTGCCGTTGTAGGCTGAATGATGATCTGAAGTATAATTCGTGTACCTTGCAGTATCTGAACTCCTTCCTTACAGTGCTGACCTACCACGTCTGGCATCCTTCTGTACATACTAAAGCAGGTCCGATGGCTTCAACTAGAAGAACTCTTTCCTACTACAAAGTATTGCTGAATGCTGATTGGGCTGAGCTTGATCAGGGAAGCGATGACCCCTGTCATGGGGCGCTTGGAGCTGTTGCTTCGACAGATAACTTTGATAGATTTTACACTGTATGTGTCGCGGAAACGCACGCTAACAGCACAGTGCCAGTAGGCGGCCGCACATCCCCCCTGTCTGTTCTCCAGGTGGGGGCCGATAAACCCCTGCACCTTCCTGCAGCTTAGGTTGGGTGTGATGGCGCGCGGCTGTACCTTACCTTGTCTTCACATCAACTCAAAGCGCCTCAACCCATCACAGCAAACCTCGAGCCGATGAGTCGATAGTTTGACTCCAGCGGCGCCTTTCTGGCGCGGTTGTTGGTAAATCGACAACTTCACCCTCGGCTGGCCCACTCTGTACGAGACAAACTCCGCTGCGGCTGCGCCTACTACTACCTCTTGCGCCTGCATCTGCGTCTGTGTCTGCGTCTGCGCCTGCGTCTACACCTGCAACCCCCTTGCCGATTTTGTCTTCAGAGGCCCAAGTCGTGTTGGTTCGGGCTGGCTTGCGCATGATATTTCACGAACCTTGCGTCTCTTCTTGGTACTTTTCATTCCGGATGACCTCCCGGAGCTCAGAAGCAAGTGGGCAACAGGCAACACACTAGATCAGCATGCAACAGAGTCCCATCGTCACACTCTCTACGGCCCTTGGCACGAGTCCCTCCGATCTTTTCCTAAGAGCAATACTTTCATGCTCTTCGCACTCTGACCGCTTACATCTTGGTGTCGTCAGACCCTTGAACCCCGAAGAGCCGAGGGTGTTGGTGTGTCTGGTATCATCTGCGGCCCTAGGATCTTCCCGTGGGCGGCCTTTGATGCGGCCTGATTCCTTCGACGGCCCCCAAGGCTTGTAGAGCTTGAGAAACTTCGATAGGCATATTTGTACAAACTATTTGCTTAGTTTCGGTCGGCCACGGTCCGACTTGAGTGACGACACGCAACCACTATCATGCATCATCTGTGTCTGCTCCTTTGAGACCCCGTAAAGGTACCCTGGCACATGGCGTATGAGTCAAGTGATTGATACTGCATTCTACCTGCATTACACCTTCCAAGCTGGATGTCTCTTAGACGCGTGTAGTCGAGCTGCAGCCTTGATTAAGATCGTCCAACAACAACCTCATCGTCTCACGATACATAGCCAACAAGTTACATGCAAAGTGGCTCCGTGACTGGTTATGTTCTCTAAAACACTCTCAATCGAGATGTAGCCGATGCAGAAGAAAGTACTCTAGCTCCAACATCCTTAATTCTCTCACGTCTCGACTTGCTTCAAGGCATGATGCATGGGGCACGGCACGGCACGGATAAGACTAGCTCGAGTTGTCCTCGTTCACAGAAGCTCATCACACAGTACCCTTGCTTGAAGTGTTGGTTTTGCACGCTTCTTGGTACAAAGAAATTATCGCTATGCATGTATTGATAATCACTTCTTGTGATAACTGCCTAGCAGGGGCAGCACCCACCTTCCCAAGAGTGACACTGGGTCACCATATCAAGTCAGGAGAACTCCGAAGTAACTAGATACGAGCTGCATGTTCTGGTGGACCGTGCCGTCAGTACGGATGACCCAAGCCGTCAAGAAGCTGTCCGTCTTCCGAGAGTGACGGTGTGGGTGTTAGTGAGCCAGAGTTGCTGCATCGTAACTAGTCTAGTCACCAACAAGAGCTTCGGCTTGCGTCGAGAACTAGTTCGGGTCACGCGAAGTGCTTCCGAGCAATTATAAGTTCCCTGCATGTTGTGGCCTTGGTGGTACCGGCTAATGGACTCTGAGCTGGCTTACTGCGGTTCAAAGAAAGAGATATGGTCAAGAGCGCGCAAGAGCGCGTCTGCGCCTAGCAAATGACGTTGATTAGGCAATGACAAAGCGAGTTTAAATCCATACCAAGTTCCTGGTTCTTCAGGGGTGGTAGGGTTTAGCGACAGGCTGCAACGGCGGCGCTTAGGAGTTGTCCTTATTGGCCAACCAACATCCTGGTCACAACCCCAAGGACCTCACGCTCTGTGCAGGTCGAGATACAAAAAGAGGGCGAGGGCAAATAATTTCGAGGAAAGCAAGAGCTGATCATCAGCTATTGGTTTCTCAGAGTATGAATGTGGTTTATCGGTGACAATTTGGTAGACATCATCATCAGCATTCATAGTCCGTGATGAACCTCAACCGTCCAAAGGCTGAGGGTCAGGTAGAATTTCTAATTCCACCACAACATTACGGAATCATGTTTAGTTTACTTACTACCTTATTACTTGGGACCACATCGTTCACTTCTTAACCTGACTTCCGCTGCTTTCCATCTACAAGCGGCTCTCTCGAGCCTCATCGTATGAGGCAGCGATCAGCAAGAAACAGAACTAGGCACAGAGCCAACACATCCTTGACCGGAAGTCTCTTCATAGGCAAGGAAAGGCTTCATAATAATTGGATATTGGATTTCCTACAAATGGGTATTGTCCACCTAGCTGGAGGCTTCTCCTCTTGTCATGACTCCTTAAAAGAGTAACTTGTACGCGGGATGTGGGCGAAACCTAATCAGGCATGATATAAAGCTCGGCATGTTTCTTAACATCTCATACCTAACCAACTGTCCAATAAGATGTACTGCATGATCGTATTTATCCGTCCCGGATAGATGGGGTCTAGTTCATTGGCTGTGCAATTGCTTGTGTTGTTGGTTGTGTATGGAGTCGAGTGGGACACGATGAAAAGAGATAGAAAGTGGCAGAAGTATGGAAGATGATCAGCTTGACTCCGTTCTCGGTAGACCCCGCGGCATTTAATTCTCACTCGATCAATCTCACTCCTGAACCCGCCCTCACTACCTAGGGTGTTGTTGAGACTGCCAACCCCTTTTCTATGTGCCGAACGAGGGCTATCAATGATGGTCAGCTCGTAGGTCTCAGAGTACCGAACAGGGTCCCATGGTAGGTATCAAAGGATATATGATCTGATACCGGTTAACAATTTATTTTATCGTTGACTTTGCTGCTTAGGCCTATCGCCTCGGAACAGTTGTAGAAAGAGAAGTGCCATGGGGTCATGAGGGGCATCGAGCACGAAAATTTGGGGCTTTAGAGTATTGAAGTAAACTTAGTAAAGAGTCCCCTAAATTTAGGATAAGTTTGCCTAAATGATCAAAGTATTTAGGATACATGTCCTAATTTTAGGCTAGAGTTACCTAAATATTCGGATTATTTAGCATCGAGGTCCTGAGCTTTCTTGCCTCCCCGTATCATCCATCAGATCCATGACCAAGGCAATCAGTCACTTGATCATTTAACTCGAGTCTTTCTTCGACTCCACTCCTTTCATCGATATCAGTTTCACCATCGATTTGGGGAGAGCCACCATCAAACCCTGATACAGTCGAGTGAACAAATGGTATTTAGGCCCTGTGGGAGATCGCTGGTCTTCGTGTTCATAGAATAGTGACCTAAAGTGCTTCATATTACTGAAGAGGCCACCGCCTGGCAAGAGTCGTGACTGACCCACGATATCGTGGAATTGGTTAAACATTGGTGTACCACTGAGCATAAAGAGATGGTGGTACTTTAATGACTTAACGGCGTCAAAATATACCGACTCATCGTTGCGGCAACCATGAGACTCATCCAGGATGAGGACAGCGATATTTCGATTGATCTGGCTGTAGTAGTCGGAATGCAGCACGAGATTTGGGCGCTGTACACGTCCTGCCTTGATCTTCTGAGCCTCGGTGAGCCCCAAAGCCACTCTGACATGACAAAAATGCTCAAACGTAAGGCTGTCTCTGTATCGGGACTTGAGGAATTCGCGAGAAGAAATGACGATATCATACTCCAGGCGGCGAGTCGTGTCGATCTTGGCGTCGTCGATGATGATCCACGAGGGGCAGTGCTCCTTTCATGAAATAAGTAACTGGGTGACCAAGACAGAGATATTGTACTTACTGGTTTGAAGTGTCGCTTTATTTCATTTGCCCACTGTATAACGCAACCAGCCCGTGTAACGATTGCAATAAAGCCAGACCTTGTGGGCATGGTCCGCTTCACCTCAAGGGCGGCGACCATGGCTTGGAGACTCTTGCCTCGCCCCATAGCATCGGCAAGGAAACCGCCCTTGAACGACGAGTTCGCCAGCCATACCAATTTGCCAACTCCCGTCCTCTGCCAATACTTGAGTTCCGTCTTGAGCGCATCGAAAATGTTGAGATGTACATAAAAGTCTGTGTTGCCGAGATATTTCTATCACAACTACTGTCAGTCGCGACTAATATCCAGAAGCAGATAGATCCAAAGGCTTACCAATTGTTCCTCGTATTGCGAGGTAGACAAGAACTGGTAGGTCTCCGTGGCGACCTCCAACCAAGATGTGACGCTGGATCAATGCATTGCTAGACGCCTGTGCGGGAGAGTGGTTTTGTTAGATGAAGTCGGTGTCCGCAAGCTTGTCGCTTGCGCTGATGATGGATAAGGTAAGAGAGCGAGAACATCCACGCGGCTGCAGTGGGCCTTGTGTGATGCTGTAGAGGTATCACTAGACACCGCATCGGTGGGTTTCTGAAAAGAGGCTTCAAATAGGGCATATACACTGCCATGGGATGTTTTTCTGTATGCCATATTGGCCCTTGTTGTGGGCGACAGAAGTGCGTGTGAAGGAGGAAGAAGCCTGGAGGAGGAGGGAGAGGAGGAAGGAGAGGGGCTTTATACCCAGAGCGAGGCCGCTGCTGCCCTGGAGGACGATGAATCAGGTCAGTCGCCTCGATTGTTGCCTAAGGTAATACCCTGAGAGAACCGTTCTTAGAGATCACAGTGATTCATAGAATAAAGAGGTCATTTCTAGGCATGTTGAGATAGATGCCATTGTGATTGTGAGATTGGACATGATCGTAATTTCAACACGCACGTTTGAAAAGAAGATGGCGCCAAGCAACTGATTCACAGCAGAGAAAAGAAAAACCAGGAGAGTTATCTCGAATACCTTGATTAAAATATCAAGTCAAGTTATCATAGATTTAATGCAGATTAGTAGACTTTTCACTACGGTAGGTAGTTATTTCTAGCATCTGGATCTAAGGCCAGAGTATTTCTCGCTCGCTGCTACACGACTACCTATGAAGTCTTGTGTTATTGCCCTTGTTTCAACAGCTCATGACACTGGCGAACTCACTGGGTCTCACGGGGCCCAAACTTTTCATCTGTTCACTCTATTCTACCAGGGCTTTATGATGGCTCAGCCCGAATCGGTGGTGAAACAGACTGGCAGCAGTTCAAGGCACCGCCGTTGGATACTGCCTCTGGTTTCTCAGGATTAGACCTTGACTGGGGGACCTTGGGTCATTATCTATGAGTCCTAGTGGACAACATGTCATACTTCGTTGCCATCGAATTCCATGGTCAAACCATGCTGCGGCATACGGAGTTCTGGCTAATCCAGGGTCGGCAATTGTCATGTGGAAGTTATCAAGTATTGAAAAGAAGTCAGAATGCACCCGATTCCCAAACGAAGCGTGTGGTTACGTTTGTACTTTATTGGGCAACAAACGAGTCAAAATATCTGTGCATGAGATCACATGGAATTAAATCGGCCGGCTTGCCTGGTTCTCACGATTTCCGAGTACAATATCATCAGGGAGGGTGGATCTTTGGGAGATGTAATAGGTTGGCGTAAGACAGGCATCTTAATGAACACATTAAAGGTGAAGAATGCAAGCATATGAAGATATTACAAAGTTATCATAAGATATCATAAGATATCCTAAGTTATTATAAGATATCCTAAGTTATTATAAGATATCCTAAGTTATTATAAGATATCCTAAGATATTATAAGATATCCTAAGTTCAGCATAAGATCATACTTAGTTATGATAAAATAATTAAATTATGGTCAAATCTTGTAATATACTCATAAACCTTGCAGTATCTTGAGTAGGTTGGGTAGCGTGAAACTCATCATGGGATAACCGATAAATCATTTGGATCAACCACATGAGACTGGCGCAATCGATTCCTAAATGTATCTATTATTGTTCAAAGAAGAGACAGGCGTGTTATGTGCAAATTCATCGAAATCTACTGCGCATATTATGAGCCATCCATGTGTACGATACCATGAGTTAAATAACAAACAGGCACCAACTTCAAACCAGAAGATTGTACCTACGTCTTAGTCTTGATAGTCTTTACTCACTGCTACTTAGTTATTGAGCTTACTACTTGTGTTATATCAGTCTCCCCGCTGCTAATTGCTTACTCCCAGACTCCAATAATGCTTTCATTCAAACACCAACAGCATCAGCATCAAAGGCTCTGAGAGCAATCTTGACAAGCATTTGCCACCCTTGGAATACAACATGGTATATCTTTGATGATGTTCAAGAGTAATAGTAGAATAACATACTTGCAATTTCCAGACATGAGGGTGGCAGCAAAAATTACCATAACTCATCATGACCAGTCAAGTGGCCATCATAGAACATCACAAAGCAACTTGAGTACAAATAATTAAGTAGGTAAAAAAGCATCATTCCGTATCTGCATTCTACCCTGTCTATGCTTAAATTCACAGGCCATCAACCGCTCTTGTAGGCTCTGGCCCAACAAGCCCACAACCATCCTTGGACCATTTTTCCATCAGCTCTCATTTTAGTAGTCATAGCCGCCCATGTCCTAGCGCGGCATACCCATGAAACATGCAGAACTTTTCATATGCCTTGGCTTCTCCTCGTCCAATTACCGTAACGACAAAGGAAAATCCACCGTGGCCAGTCGTAAACCCAATCGCCCCTCGCGAGGCGTCGAGGGTGCTCGGTTCTTTGCTCCAGCATCAGTACTCCAAAATATCTACACTGCTGCAATTCCTAACAACATTGTGCATTTATCGGGAAGACATAGCCTTGGTGACAAGGCGCTTGAGAGCAAGCTCCTGCTTCTTGAGGTCCTCAGCGGAAGACTCGTTGAGCTCAAGAGCAGCCATGGCGTCGCTGATAGTGCTCTCGATCTTCTCCTTCTGGCCACGCTTAAGCTTAAGAGACAGAGTGGGGTCAGAGACGATCTCCTCAACACGGCCGATGTAGGACTCGAGTTGCTGCTTGGCCTCGAACTTCTTCTGGAAAGCGTCGTCGTTGCTCTTGAACTGCTCAGCATCATTGACCATCTTCTCGATCTCATCGGTGGTGAGCTTGCCGACAGAGTTGGAGATAGTGATGTTGGCGCTGCGACCGGAGGTCTTCTCGGTAGCAGTGACCTTGAGGATACCGTTGACGTCGACCTCGAAGACACACTCGAGGACGGCCTCACCGGCACGCATGGGAGGGATAGGGGCAAGAGTGAACTCTCCGAGGGAAGTGTTATCCTCGCAGTTCACGCGCTCTCCTTGGTAGACGGGGAATTGGACAGTCTATTACAAGTTAGTGAAACGATTTGTAAAGATTGGGGAGTCGATATGTACCTGCTGATTGTCTGCCACAGTCGTAAAGGTTCTAATGAGTTCATTGTCAGTATAGGTCATCTAAAGTTCATAAAATTTGATGAATGTTGGATGAGGTTGTCTAAATGCTGAAGAGCCTTAGACTTGAAATGTGGGGCGTGTGTGGGGCTCCACACGAAGGCCATGTGAAATGTGGGGCATTGGCACGAGGCTGAGATTTGGCCAAACCACAGAAAGATCACCAGAAATGAGAAACAAAACTTTGGAACTAGTAAATGAACATACCGCTTCTTCAAGGTAGGGCAAGTAGTACCACGGGGAACGACGGGAGCGAAGATGTTACCCTCCATGGCAACACCCAGGGACAGAGGAACGACATCGAGGAGAAGGAGATCGGAGGTCTCAGCAGAGGTAGCCTTTCCAGACAAAATTCCGGCCTGGACGGCGGCACCGTACGCAACGGCCTCATCGGGGTTGATGCTCTTCTCGAGCTTCTTGCCGTCGAAGAACTCGGAGAGAAGCTTCTGGATCTTGGGGATACGGGTGGAACCACCGACGAGGACAATCTCGTCAACGGCCTTCTTCTCGATCTGGGCGTCCTTGAGAACCTGAGCAACGGGCTCAATGGTGCCAGAGAAAGCCTTGGCGTTAAGGTCCTCGAAACGGGCACGGGTGATGGACATGGTGAAATCCTCGCCGTCAAAGAGAGAATCGATCTCAATGGTGGCCTGGGCACCGCTGGAGAGAGTACGCTTGGCACGCTCGCAGGCAGTTCGGAGACGTCGGAGGGCACGGGCATCGCCAGAAAGGTCCTTCTTGGTCTTTCGGCCGAACTCCTTCTTGCAGTGGTCAAGGAGGTTAGTGTCGAAGTCCTGTCCGCCCAGATGGGTACTAAAGTGTGTCAGAATCTCTTGATAGTAATCCCGGACGTATGTTACTTACTCTCCAGCAGTAGCCTTGACGGTAAAGACACCTCCCTGGATGTTGAGGAGGGAGACATCGAAAGTACCACCACCGAGATCGTAGATGAGAACGTTGCGCTCCTTCTCGGACTTACCGGCACCAAGACCGTAAGCAATGGCGGCGGCAGTGGGCTCGTTGATGATACGGAGGACGTTAAGACCGGCAATGGAACCGGCGTCCTTGGTGGCCTGTCGCTGGTTGTCGTTGAAGTAGGCAGGAACAGTGATGACGGCCTTCTCGACCTTCTTGCCGAGCTTGGTCTCGGCAATCTCCTTCATCTATTTGGAGGGGTCAGTAAAAATTGCACTAGTGCGGGGGCGGGGAAAATTGTGCGTACCTTGGTGAGGACCATGGAGGAGATCTCCTGGGCAGAGAACTGCTTGTTCTCGCCGAGGTACTCGACCTCGATCTTGGGGCTGCCGTTGTCATCGACAATCTTGAAGGGCCAAGACTCGATGTCCTTCTTGACGGTAGGGTCATCGAAACGACGACCAATCAGACGCCTGAGAATATCAGTCAGAAACTGGAATTTTGTGCGCTGGAGGTGAGAACAACTCACTTGGCATCGAAGACAGTGTTGCGGGGGTTCATGGCAGCGTTGTTCTTGGCGGCCTCACCGATCAGACGCTCCTTATCAGTGAAGGAAACGAAAGAAGGGGTGGTGAAAGAACCCTGCTCGTTGGCGATGATCTCGACATTGGTACCCTCGTAGATAGCAACACAGGAGTAGGTAGTACCTGTAGGAGGACGGTGTTAGCGAACACTTTTGGTGAGTTGTTCGATGCATTGAGTGTGTTGTCTTTGAGTGTCCTCTGGTGAGGGCATCATGAAGCGAGTCGCCCGATGGCGGCGCACAAGAATAAAACACATCGACAACAACACCAGCCGCATCAGAAGAAAAGTGAATAGACATACCCAGATCAATGCCAATGGCACCGTCATACACTTCGTCCGCCATTTTGTCTTGTCTGAAAGGTTTGTGGTGGAAAGGGAAGAAGGATGAAGAGGAGAAGAAGAAGAACGTGGGGTTTCAAGAAAGGAAATTCTCCCACTCTGATTTTGTGAGCGACGCTGCGTTAAAAGAATAATAAATTTTGGAGGGACCTGTGAACTTTTTCTGCGGGGCGGGGTAGGGAATCCCCTCCACTAAACCTATCGCGGTAAAGTCCCTCGCCTGAGTTTTTTTCAAGGCTCCATTCTTTTTTTTCTCCTTCGATTCTGCTGAGCAACCAAACGCACGCACTTTTGAGAGCGCGAGAAATCGGGAACGAGGTAATTCTAAGCCGGGGATATTGATAATTTTGGTATAGACTATCCGTCGCCAATAGTTTGGCATCGATATCTCATGTTCCATTTTTTTGTCATACATATATTGACAGTCACGCAAACCGCATGCATGCAGTACTTGTGTGGCTAAAGTGCGAGAACGATCTTATGAAATATAACACTGTACTGTGAACCTTGAACCTCGAAAGAGATTTACCATTGCCTCGACAAATCATCACTCAGCCTATGCCCAGTGAGTGGCAAGGATTTAGCCGCCTCTACCTGGATCAAATTTTCCTCTCCGAGTTCCTGATCCTCGGCTGCCTGAGGAAGAACTAGGTAGTTAGTTATCACTGCAGCCCAACTAACAGCTGTCCCTCAAGCTTGTGTACCCAAAGCTTGACGGCAATGCCGACTTTACTATTTGTGCCGCTTTCGGAGCTACGGTGTCTACGAGTTGTCAACTTACTCGCTTGCAGCTACCAGTCCTATCGTAGTATCAGTCTGACTCGCTATCCGACGAATGACGACTCTTTGTGACCTTGAGGGAACTCATGAATCATTCTTGTAATGTCATTCAACATCGAGCCTGTCCTAGCTATTGTCTCTATAACTTAGCCTTAGGGAGCAAGAAAATATCAAACCTTGATATAAGGTGTCAAAATAAACTCAGTAAAAGGTATCCTAAACTTATGCTAAGTAACCTAAGTATTTTTATCATTTAGGATCGAGGCTCAGAGTTTTCTTTCATCCCCTAGGTAGGTTGGTAGCAACGATGGCTTTTTGTACTCATTAGGCATCAATTGGTTAAGTTTTGAACTAGATATGTAGCAGTGATTGTTTCGAGGAATACACAATTGAGTGTTTCAAAGCCCTCTCTGTCTTGTCGTTAAGGCTGCGTTCCACGCCATCTTTTGGACCACGCAGTCTTCTACCACCAGTTATGGGTCTCTTCGCGGCAATATAATCTGGCACATTGAGGATTTGCCCCGGTCTGGGCTGTGCTCTCACAATCTCCTCCTTGAGGCTATCCCTAGCATCGAACACACTGAAGAGGAACTTATCGAACTGGTTGAAAAGAGACAGCTTCGCAAAAACGAGCTGTTCTGTAATTGGGCAAAGGCCGACAATATGCGGCAACATGCAAATTCTACTCCAGAATCTATTGCCAAACGAACTTAGATCAATGCTCAGAGGTACAAGAGCAGGAAAAGACAGCGAGATGACGCGGTGGCCAACAAGACACACTATTGCGACTTGTGTGAGAAGTCTTACACCAGCGCTGGTGAGCTGGAAACACATCGGGGAACGCTTCTTCACCTTCGCCGTGTGGCTCGTGGCGAGAAAGGATTTTCGTGTGCACCTTGTGTTGTTTCTTCCTTTAACCAAATAAGACTCGCCACAGACACCGTAGTCAGACAAGCATCGCAGGAATGTTAGCTAATAAGACACCAAAGTCAGATCACCACCGACCCTCGTGCCTTGCGACGTTGTCGGGGAACAAGAAAATATCGGACCTTGATTTAGGTTATCAAAATAAACTCAGCAAAAGTCATCATAAACTTATGCTAAGTTACCTAAGTATTTTATCATTTAGAATCGAGGTCCTGAGTTTTCTTTCCTCCTTCAGCTCGGTAATAATAATGGCCTTTTGAGACTTGGGCATTACTTGGTTAAGCTTTAAACTAGATATGTAGCAGTGGTTACTTTGAGGAATGAATATACATCAAGAGGGCTGAACAGTACATCTCGAAGAATGTGTGGTGATAGCTATCTTTGCCTACATCGTCGACATGACATAGAAGAAAGGAAACACCTTTCAAGCTATCAGACTGTGCTAGGTTACAGTGAGGATGCTAATAAATGTGTGCTAATTCGTGACAAGACATACTCGTTAATATGGGTTATGCTTGTCAGCTCAGAATGGTAGCCAATAGATAGACCTGCTGTGTTGAGGTCCGATATGCCCTGGCATCTTTTGAGAACGGGCATGATATGGCATCTCAAATCATCCTCGAGTATAATATGTAAATTGTAAATATATCTGCGTCAATGCTGTGGATAGCTTCACATATCCCAGAATGAAAGTGGTAGGTCATGACACCTGCGCAGACACCATCCGGTCCACAGTTGCTAAGAAACTCTTGCACCAAGATTCAGTGCCAACTTACAATCAATCATTGTCCGGCCTATGTCTCATTTGTACTTAGGTTTCAGACCGAGAACCTCAGCTTTCCAAGTCACAGAATCAGAAACTGTGTCTTTGAGAGACGGTGCCTTGGGCTCCCATCCCAGAAACTTCCTCGCTCTCTCCGATTCTCCTCTCGAGTTGATGGCCCACGCAATTCCAGCCTTGTACCCATTTTTTATCACATCTTCAAATGTAACGGACTGAGTCCTAGACTCGGGTATATATCCTTGACGATGAACCTCGTCGGCAACCCAGGCTGCGAGGTCTTTCCATTGGTGTTCACCGCCACTGACAAAGTAGTACCCTTTCTTGCCCCATACTTCAGGGTCTTCTCTCATGGAGGAATCCTGGGTTGCTTCGATAGCTTTGTTGAAAAATTCTGCGAGGTCCTCTACATGAACGTAGTCCCATTTTGCCTGTCCAGCTCCAACGAAAGGTGTGTAGCCAAGTTCAAATGTTGCTCGAGCCAAGCCTGGAACTGTCATGCTAGTCTTGTTGAACAACCCGAGACCAGTTCCGTGGATAACACCGGGTGATACAATGAGGAACTGAGTCAATACTCTGGACAGCATTGTCAACATCCTTGTGGATCGCTTCATTGGGTAGGTTTAAAATACGATCAATGTCGTTGATGTCATGGTAGCTCTGCTCTGGTAGAGGTGGCATACCGCAGCGTTGATTCTTGAGATCATACCAGGTCAGGATACCTGCTCCCGAAAGATGGATGTAGTATCCCGGATTTTCCTTTGAATGACCAGAGGTAAGCCCTCTTTCAATTGCTTTTGCCGCTGGGAGCGAGTCTGCAGATTCTGCGGTGTCTTTTCGCAAGTGTAAGTCATAGTTGTCCTATATTCTTGAGGTAAGGTATGTTGAACTTACGAACAACCACGTCAGCTTCAGACGCCGCCTTCTCAATCACATCGGTGCTCGCGAGGTCCCCATACACGAATTTGACATTGGGATACTTCTTCGAGATGATATTTGCACGATCTTCGCTACGGATATACAGGGTATAGTCATAATTCGGGTGGGCATCGTGTATTTTGGAAAAGGCAGTACCTCCAACGAAACCTGTTGGCAACCGTCAGTTTAGACATGCCCCGCTTCAAGGACAATACTTACCAGTGACTCCAGTACTAGAGAGACAGGTTAGTTTTCTCACTGACCACATATCATACAAAGTGATGTGTGATTGGCGCTTACAGCAAAATTTTGGGTGCCATCGTGGTATTGGCTTTTGTTAAGTTGTATGAGACAAAGTGTTGGGTTCAGTGAATAATTCTCTTATTGTTTGATGGATGTTTCAAACTTCGACAGGGAAAGGAGCAAGGTTGTTCACTTTATTAATGTGTGTAATCCAGAATCTTGTGATGGTTCCAAGGATGCATGTTGCAGCACGTCTTCGTCACTTACGAAGCAAACGTACGGCGTGAAACTAAACTCCGAGCAAATTAAATACAACAATCTAGAACTACTGCCAAGATGACCTAGCCGCATACTTTAGGTGAGATGTACGAGGGAATGGCCAATAAGACAATGTTGTTTGTATCTCAACTGCCAAGTTTGACATCGCAAATGCTAACCTACCCTATGCATATTACAAACCCAGGTCAGACCGGAATTTCCGGTTTGACAGTAAGCACACATAAACCACAAGTTTCCAGGAATGGTTTGAAGCAATGATATCATAAAGAAATGCAAATTTGTCGCAGAGTTCTTCGTAACCGCAATGAAGCAACACTCCTACGGCTTGCTCAGCCACAGTAGGGAGGTAAGAAACCTTCTTTCCACGAGACCTGTATCGTGAGAGGAAATAAATATAGTCCAATTTTATTTATAATTTAGGGTCTATGATAACTTAGTCTAAGTTAAGACTATATCAAAGTACAAGGGACCGAAGAACTTGTCTCGTCATGTTGGATATCTCGCGGGGGCGCCGTTTGTGCTTGATGCTCTATATAGAACCCACTTTGCACTCCGTACCACACTAGCAATATCCTTCAGACAACTTGTTTTGAGCTATTGCCGCTAATTAACGAGAAACTCAATTGCTAACATCAACCAACCCAAGTCGAGCTTCCCTAGCAACTTCGACGACAAGCGGGGTACACGATATCCTCGCTTGTCTCTCTTTAGTAGCTGCAATAGGCAAACCACCAATGAAATCATCACAAGGGATAACCAAACATGGATGTGAATATGGCATGGCATGGCATCGTTTGGGACGATTCCCCCTCACTATAAAAGGCTCACTTCCCCGGGGCTGAAGCTCTTTTGAACTTTCACTTTCGATACCAACTGTCATAAGAACCTCAGATTAACAAAACCACTTCCATCTCCTTGTTCCTCAAACGAGTAAACATGCCCAAGGACTACACCACCAAGAGCTCTGGCACCAACAGCCAGGTTAGACCCACCACCTACACACCTATCTGTGTCACTGCTCACATCTCAGGGTAACCATTATTGCGCTCGAGACTACGGTTCCAGTGCCTCCAACTCGAACTCTTATCATTACTCCAACACGTAGGTGTGAACTGACCAAGATACATATCAAGTGCTGACATTCTATCCAGGGATGGCTCCTACTATTACTCCAACCCCAATGGAAGCACTTACCACAACGATGGTCAAGGTAGCTCAACCTACACGTCTCCCAGTGGCGACACTCACTCGTCCGGCTCTGGCAAGAAATAAGTCTGGAGGAGGAAAGTGGCTGGGTTGATGAGTATGAAAGCAGCATGATGGATTCAATGTAATGGAGTGAGATGGTACTGAGGCTTGGTGCTATGAGTCTATGGGCTCTCGACCAGCCAAAGACCACTTCTCTGAGGGGAAAGGAATGGCCAATCTGAGATTTCAGATGTCATGATCGTGATTTAAGAATAGAGACCTGTCATATTGCCGCATATACCACAGTCACTTGTTTCTATCCCAGTTCACAGGTGGCACATTATGTGACGATTTCTTAGCGGCCTCATTGTGACCCCCAAAGGGTTATGCTCATAATGGTGAAATTAACGGACGATTGGCAGCGGTTTCTGACCACAACTGCTTTCGTGTGCAAGTTCAACAACACGGCACGTAACTCACTAATTACCAAGGGCGACTTTAATGTATGACTATATTTTGAGCAATTCCAAATGTGGTGAGATAAATCAGACTTCTTTCCGAGTCAACTGGTCTTCCCACGCATGTTGCTTTTGGTGAATATGAAACGGTGTAAACCATCAACCAGTATAGAAGCCAAAAGACCACAAAACCAGGCATGTCTCCAGACACTCATGCCTAAGCCCCAATCATTTCTCACCCCATCACGGTGAGTATATCGTTACCTTGCCAAATCCGCTGACGTTCCCAAATACATCTAAAATCGATCCCAAAATCCACCGAGCCATGAGCAATTCCGATTTGGGCCTTCAAATAGAGTAGTGCACTGAAAGTGCGATGATGATTGCGGGATAGACAACAGCCTCAACTAGAAGTTGCTGCTTGAGAGTACCGCGCTGGTCCTTGGTAAGGCACTGCATTTCTCCGTGAGTGTACCACGATATAGTCGAGTTGAGCTTGCCGTAGAGCACGATAGGCCCGATGAAAGGGAAGAAGAGAGTGAGTATCATGACCCACATGAACATTCGCTTTCCACGTTGGGCGACCATGTCAGCATGCTGGCGATGGATACGAATATCCTCGCGGGCCTCCTCGATGAGGCGAGCCTCCCTCTGAGTGAAGGGGCTGTCGGCGAGGGGATCAAACTCAGATTGGCAATGACCGACGCGTCGACTATTGACACTGGTGGAGAAGCCAGGATTATGGGCTCCAGTGCGAGAGATGGAAATGCTTGGTTGGAAGTTTCGATACCACACACGGTGAGTGCTTGACTTTGGATCGGTAGGAGGGGGAGTGTCGAGGATAGCAGACGATGAGACCAGCATATCAGTGACTCTGTCATTCGCTATAACCCTGTCAGTTACATCCACAAATGAAAGCGTTGCAACTTACAATCGCGAGGACGATGCGCCTGAGGCAGTCGATGAAGGTGAAGAATACGGGCAGGTCGCGTGACATCGTCACTCCTGGACGAGGGCCAGAAGCTTCTCTTTGGAGGAGAAGGAGTCTTTGGGAGAGGAGGAGAGTTTGCAGTGCTGATCGTGTTCGACCTTCCCCTGACCCCAAAGTTGCCTGCACTCTGGCTGTGATCCTCTTCACCTCTCTGTCGTTTGAACTGCTGCAGCATCGCAGCCTCAGGGAGACTGACAAGAGGAAACGGAAGACGAGGAATCTTGGACAGGAAATCATCATGAGGAACATGGGCAGGTTGGTCCGAATTGGACTCCTGGAATCGTCTTTTGTACAGTGGCTTGTCAAAAATAGTCAGCGGGGTTTTGGGAGGATCACGACCAAGATTCTTTCGGATTCTATTCCAACTGAAGCCGAAGTACCTTTCGCCGTCTGGCGAAATCGCTTCCTCGGTTTGGGCGTTTCCATGAGGAGCTGCGTCCGAGTCGAGGCTCTGATAGCTGCCTCTCTTGGGAGGCAGGTCTGAGAGGAGGATGTTCTCATGGCTGGGCGTCTGCTCAGATGGCTCCCTGCGGAATAGACTTGAGAAACGGGCGGCAGATTCAGGTAATCGTGACTTGGCCTGAGAAAAGCCGCGAGTTGTGTTGGAGGCATAAGTTCCAGGACCCTCACCATACTGGGGGACAGATACAGGGAGTTTCGTTCCTCTGTCGGTACGAACACGGTATGAGCCGTATTTGTTGGTACCAGGAGGATGTCGAATGATTCTGTCTCTCGAGCCGTAAGAGCGAGGATGAATTTCACGCTCTGTCACGTCGGATACATCAGCGACACTGCTTCCAGTTCCCTTTGCAATGCTGTCGTGATAGTCTTGCTGCATCGAGTCGAAGGCATGCTCGGTCGTGACAGTCTGCCAATCACCCTCCGTACCAGTGAGAGGTCGATTCTTGACAAGAGAAGCAATTTCACCTTGTAGTCGTCTATCAGGGACGGGGACACGGCGAATCGCTTTTTCCTCCCGATGAACAGGAACTTTGACCTCTTCATCGACATTCTAAGTCGAACAAATAGCCGCAGAATTGTAAAAGGATGCAACAGGAGCAACTCTCTGTGAAGCGACGGGAAAGCTTCCATCAGCAAATCGCGGGAGTGTTTCCTTTGAGGAGACGGCTAAGCCGGCTAAGCCGGCTTGGTGCAGCGCATTACTGACTTCTCGCTCTGCCGATGAACGTAGAAAGCCCGAGTATGCATCTGTGTCATACTTGAAGGGGTCTTCATCGCTGTCGGATGAGGCACGAGAGTACCTTCCGAGTGTGTTAGGTGCATGATTGTTCGGTGCGTAGTCCTCGGGATCGCAAGGGGCGCAAGTGTCTGGGTCTTTGTTGCGAGGTGATTCGCTGTAGAAGCTGGACGCGGAGTGAAACGAGTGCAAACGGGGAGCTGATCTCGGCACATTTCGCACGGACGGGTCGCCGGGTGAGACGAGCTCAAAGTTGTGCGTTTGCGGTACCCAGAGATTCTGATTCGGCTGAGACTGGCTCTGCTGTTTGTTCTCAAAATTGAAGTTGCCTCGACGTTTCAGCGGTCGATTTGAAGATTCGGCATGACTTTCAAACGCATCCTCTCCGGCGACCGTTTCCCATTCGGAATGGGCATGATCATCGCTTAAAGGCTCATTGATCTTTGGCACAGCGAGGCCAGCTTCCTCATTGTTGAGTCGTGATGGACGCTCAGCGACAAATCTAGTTTGGTCTGGGCTCATGCAGCGAGACATGACAGGACCGGGAGATGAGAAGTCGCGTAGCTGAACACCATCCCCAACCTCAATTCCAGATGTCGCAAAAGGATCCGAATGACATGAGATGGAAGATGAGGTGGTGTTACGCCCGTGACGCGTATCTCGGGCCGAATTGTCGCTCTCAGTGTATGGAAGCGACTGTGGACATTAGTATTTGAGTGCTTGTAAGTGAGAGAGTGTGTTACTTACATTTTCGGATAGAGGTTTCATGTTGAAGCTCGAAGGAGCTTCAAGTATCTAGAAAGGAGTAAAGCTTTGAATGAATAAGGGTGCGATAAGATAGAGTGAAGTGAGGCACAGAAAAGAGAGGAAACTGAAAGATCTTCGTGAGTGATTTGAATTCAAAGCAGACCGAGATATTCTTGAACTGATCAACAAATAGTTTCAGAACGCGCAGTGCTGTTATAGCGGACTGTCTGTTTCAAGCAGCGTTGGCTTTTGGCGTGTGCGTGAAACGGTGTTTATCACGACGGGTCGAAGAGCTGGATGATTGAGAGGTGAGTGAGACGGACGACTGCGCTCACTACAGCGCGGAGATTTCCCCGGCCTGGGCTGAAGATGTTGACTGAGGCACCAAATTCGTCATGCTTGAGGCAGTGAATAAAACGGGAGGTTGGAGGGCTCTGAGGATTCACGTTGGAAGGATGAGGTGTGGCAGCATTCTGGTGGGAGCAGTGCCAACAGCTGCCAGGAATCAGAGTACGCTCAACGGTATTTCAGGGATTAACCAAGGGCTCTTATGAGCCCTTTCTCTTTATTTATATGATAGAAGAATCATTTTAGTCGAAACTGAGGGGAAAAGAAGCCTTGGGGTTGTCAGATGATTCAAGATGTTGAAGGATGTCCTGCTTAAACTCAACATCAACTCAACAAACGATATCACCACTTAAGCATAACCTGACTATTTTGTTACAATTTCCTAATCTGTCTTTGATTGATAATTGATATAGTCTGGGCTATTTGAAGTCTGGTAGCTTCGATACCTCGTGTACTGGCCAAGGTGTTGAGGTGCTTAAAGGCGTGGTTTGAGATTGCCTGTCTGCACTTGACGTCAGGATGAAGGATTCCTTCTTGCTGATGTTGGCTTAAATCCTCATGCTACATAAAAGTGTCAATTCTTTTTTTTTTATGTCAATCATAGCAACTGACTAGTCGGTTCAGTTTTTGGAATAGGTCGTCGTTGAGGAGCAATACGGATCACTACTTTTAGTATTATGACAAAGTTAGACTACCCAAGGTAAGCTAAGGTAGTCTATAAAAACTCCCCTAAGCTTATAATAGGTACCAAGCATATTATTTCTAACCTTGGACGATTTGCGGATAGTTAATGCCCAATTATAGAACATTTCCCTTCTGCTGGTCAAGACTGTACATACCTACCTTGACTGGTCTTGATCGAGATTGGCTCCTCGAAAACCCTCCAATTGGAGGCTCTTCCGTGCAGCAGTTGACACATTCATGGCCAGTTAGTTAAGACATTGGGCGTCAGAATAGGCGTAAGGCGCCTTTTTGTAACTGCCGGTTCGTCCGATCGCTTATCGCGACAATCCCAGTCAATCAATGTCGAGCCAATGTCAAGTCAAGGTTGTCACAATGTCCATTGTCAATCCTTCCAACCCCTTCGACCCTCGACCCTCTGACCCTCGACCCGCCCACTCGCTCCTTTTCCCATCAGATTCAACCCGATCTTGACCCAACCCAACCCAAGTTGTACCTGTCATTGTTAATGTCGCTGTCACGCTTGCATCGCAGCACTAACAAGACGACTTTACTGCACTCCCCCCTTTGAAGCCATCTATCTCAAGAAATACTCCAGTACGGAGTAGTTAACTACAGTACAAGCTTTGCCAAGCTCGCTTCCCGTCTGGCCACTCCACACTTTGGTTTAGGAATCGCAAATCAGCGTGGCGATCGAGTCGAATCGATCCACGACTACCTTAACTTACCAACCAACAGCCCGACCAACCGAAGCAGCTCTCTAGCTCTCTCTCTCTGTTCAACTCTACTTTATCAACAAACTCTAACGTTTAGCTCATTGGGTTTCTCGAGGGTCATACTAAGACAATAACAATGACAATGACAATGTCATTGTGCGCACAAACTTCGAGTCACTGGGACGAGCTCCCCCATGAGATCCTCCTTCAGATCTTGTGCTGTGAGTTGAACCCAGCTTACCTTACCTTGCCTCACGCCTTAATTCTTATCCCTCAGTACCCCGCTATCGCATAAACCTCCATTACCGTTCCATAATCAATTCCAATTGCCTGCCTTACTGACCACGTGTATTTTTGCTTCATCAGACCTTGAGCCTCATCAATTGCCCAAACTTCAACTTGTTTCACGAAATTTCAGAGAAGTTGTTCTTGACGATGAATTGTGGAAACATCACTGTTTTGAGCGCTCATCATGGTATGCCTTTCTTCGAAATCGCAGAAAGGTCTTTGCATCTCTACCCGAGTCATCTTTAAGTAATGCCACAGAAACTGAAGACGAAAATGGTTCTCTACTGGCCCAAAATGATTCATGTCGATTTGACAAACGCCATTATCAATTCCTCCAAGATATGGCAAACTGGGACCCGGCATTTCCTGACGAGCATGTCTCGTGGTATAACGAATACATCCAGCGTCAGGGACCGCCGGCTATCAACTGGCTTGAGACGCCACACCTGAAACAAGGCACTATGGAGCATTTCATCGAGGTCAGAGGTATGGCCCTATTCAGCCCTAACAATGGCGATGATGGCATTGGCAGTTTGATGGCCGTCTCACCTCTCGATGACGGGTCTGTATGCCTTTGGGACGTCAATGGCACCAGGGGCAAACGAGGGGGCATTATCGCGACCAGTAAACCAGACATCCTGTTCTTCGACGGCCGCGGAGATCAGAACACGAGGCGGTCCAAAAAGATCGACACAGGTGTCACTGAATGCGTCAGTGTTAATAACAGCAGCAACAGGGCTGTCTTTGCTGTGCAGAGTCGTAAGTGCCGAAACGATAATCGACTGTGCCTCACTAATAACTGCAACTGTAGATCTCATCGAAGTCGATCTCAGCCGCCTTGAAGTTGTAAACCGGCACTCTTTCGAGTGGTCAATCACAACGTTATCACAGATCCAGGATGGTATCCCAATGACGGTTGGCACCTCATTGGGTATTCATCTTCAAGACTTCAGGGCGCCATCACAATTCCATGGGGATGTCGTGGAGAGGCTAGATATTCCCGGGGAGGAGGAAAATCCGTTCAAGGGAATCTTTGATCCGAATCCTTTGCCGCCGTACGCCTCATTGTCTCAGCCAACGCCAACAAGCATCCTACACCTACCAAGGCCAGCCGGCGATAGTGCAGTGTCGGACGACATTTACGTGGCGGGGAGGTTCTCCAATATTCTTCATTACGATAGGCGCCACTTCCCAAAGATCGTGGGGTCCATTTACTCGGGCTCAAGGCTGTCCAGTCTGGCGGCACTGCCTTATCCATTCTCCACATTGGACCATGAAGTACGACGTCGTGGAGAACTCACAGCTGAGAGGGTCCATGAAACCAAGACAGCTGGTAGCGGCAGAACTCTAATCGCAGGCGGAGAGTACAAGACCAAGGGCTCGCTCGAGGTATATGGTCTGGACGCTGTCGACCTGTCAAGTGACGGGCCAATGCAGCAGAACTCAACTATGAAGAATCGGTATACTGCAGCTTCATCCATCATTCTGTCGGTGATCAACCACGGAACGAAGGTTGCATTCTCAGATGGGGCCGGGCAGATTAAGTGGTTTGAAAGGGACGGATATACCGAGTGCCGTCGGATCAAGGTTGGGCACAGTGACGTGCCCACTCAAGCATCACTCTTCGCTTCCATGCCAGGGTCCGACGATCTTGCAAGGAAGATCTTATCCACCAGGACAAGGCAAGATCGTGACCGACCAAACGAAGACAATGTCATCTTCTGGACAGGAGATAAACTTGGTATGGTTAGTTTCACGGGAGACACCTTGTTCACGCCCGACGATTTCCAGGAGAAGAACAAGGAGGTCGCAGCAGATGAGCGCCAGCGCCAGCAATATTCTCAGAGGATGCGGGAAGCACTGGAGAAGCAGGCCGATGATGCTAGGTTTGTTCAAGGACTTGGATTGTAATAAAAAAAGAGGGCGATTGGATCTAAGAGGGCGATAATGGGGAGGCTTTCGGCGACATTGCGAAATATGGAGAGGATCTGTCGAGCTACGCATTTAGGATGAAAAGGAGGCTCTAACAAAAGAAATAAGTAATCCCGGTACATAGAAAAATAACTCAATCTTTTGACTGTGAGTGAGTGCCGCCGCACGATAGCACCATCACGAGACACAGTGATCGTCGGTGGAGAAAGGGTCTTTTGGGGTCGAAACGTTGGTGAATACTGAATAATGAGGCGCGTGGCGAAGAATTTGGTGGATATAGTAGTTGAGCGGGCACTAGGAATGAATGATGGGCAAAAATAACAAGCATAAAGCTGGTAACATCAATACTACATAGGAAAAGGATGCTTGCATCCGGGTGCAAGATGATGAGGGCTGATTTATGCAAGCAAGACATTAGTGTTGTGGTTGTAGTCAGAATTAGGCGAAGCTGATGACGATGATGATGGATTGTAGATTGTCTTGATCGAACCCCATGAGAGGGCTGTCCTGAATCTGTATTTACGAGACCGATCTTGGTCGTACGGTGTTACTAGAAGAAGTGGAGTGTAAAATCACCGTGCTCAGAGCACGATCCAAGTCTCAAGAGTCAAGCTGAGGCTAAGAGACAGATGAGACGAAACCAGAAACACGGCAGCTCTACGGTGTAGACCGTAGATGAAGTCCACGATATCCCTGGCAGTCAATATCAAAGAGCCAAGCTAGCCTGGCATGGCATGTTATGGCATTTCATACTCGAAGCTGTCACTCGCACTCTCAGATCTCAAGTTGACGACAGCGGCTTGATCGCAGAGCCCGTGCTTCAAACAGAACCCTGGTGTATCATTAATTACCGGTTCTTCTACAGTATGTCTTTGCAAAACATGGAACGAATAGACTTCCAGAAATGCCAGGGAAAGGAAAAGCATCGATTGACATGAAGTTCAAGAAAACCAGGGCAACCAATCGCAGACAGGGATCTACACCCCCTGGCCAATGAGGGTCTCGGCAGAGTGAGCGCTTACGGACAGGTCAAGACGGCAGATTCTGTTGCTTATCGGGACAAGTTAGAAGGCCTCAATGCTGTATTGGGCTCTCGACATTAGAGAAACCACGTATGAGCCTCAATGGGCATCGCCAATAGGGGTAGGCAGTAAGCCCTGTGAAGTACGGATGGATCTCTGCTATAGCCAATTGCTCGTACAAAGTAGGTACACGCATGATTGCAGCCAGATCCAAAAGGGTATCCCGGCCTCGGACACGCGGTGCTCGTCAACCCTTGACGGGAAGTGGACTTGGTAGTGGAGATAACCATGGTGCGTTGTCAGCTTGACAGTCAGTGAGTGAGTGAGTGCCTGGTGTTTAAGTTCGCCTTGCTGAGGAAGCCTGCCTACCTGCTCCCAAGCTAGACGATGAAGCTCCGGCCAGGTCTTGGTCTTGGTCTTGGTTCTTAAGCTCATGTGCCGTTGTCTATCATGCCAAGAACGAGAGATTCATTGGAGAAGAGGCCTCAAGTAATCGACAGTGGCTGATCTGCTGCTGCCCTGGATGCGGAAACTCAATGGGAAAATCCCTAGGGGAAGATCAGAGTCAGTCCGACGGTTTCGGCCGGGTTTTCCTTTTTATAGAAAAAAAAACGGGCGCATCTCGTCCGACTGAAGGGAAAGGGGCTTGACTACTACTGTATACTTGGTGTGAGAAACTATCGTGACACAGTGACTGTAGTGTAGAGAAAACAAGAAAAATATCGGGCGAATACAATTACACCGCTACATAGAAATAGAAATAAAACACAGACACAGCCAAGGTGTAGAGGACGCCATGCCAGTTGAGGGTTGGCGACAGAACGGAAGATGGAAGCAATCTCAAGGAACAAGGCAGGGTTCCTCAGTCTAACCGCAAGTAATTGATGGCTGTTGTACTCTGTAAATGGATGTCAATGAATCTCATGAAGGCATTCTGTAATCATCCAGTAGTTGAAGTGAGGCGCCTCTTAAATCCACAGAAACGGTCCATCTCACAGTTGTCGTGTCATTGTCATCCATGCTGCCTCCCACCACATCCGATCCCGAATCAATTGAACCTCCTACAGCGCCTCACAAACCACCAGAGACAAGGATTCCCCAGCGCAAGAGACACCTGCTGTGGGCTGTGATGAGGCCGACAGGGGTGTGTGGCCCCCCTGTATTGCTAGGCCCTGTCAGTTGGCGACCGACGTTTAACAGCAACGGGACTAAAACCAACTAATCGATCGCCCTGAAAACGAGATAAGTTAGTGGATTTGGGTCCATTCCATTCATTCCATCATATTTGGTCCTGGCTCGTCCCGCGATTGCAGCAGCTGAGCTGAGATTGCTGTGCTGTGCCGTGCTCTGTTCTGCTGTAACTGTAACAGTCTTGTATCAGACAGGAGGTTACCACAAAGAACTTACGGTCAAGCTTGGGGTCTGAGACCATCGAATTTCTCGATCCTTGAATGCATTTCTCAACGTAGACTTTTCCATTATTATTATTATCATCGTCTCTTCTGTTTCTAGTTTGTTTTATCTTTTCCCTCTTTCTTTTCTCGTCTCTTCTCCATTCTTCGGATCCAATTCCTACCCGACCGCCCCCAGTCCTTCTCCTCATTAACTGGGCTCCTTGGGCTGCTACTACGACTGTGACAGCGCTGCAACTCAACTCAACTGGCACTGGACTGCTCACGCGTCGTCTCTGTCTCGTCTCGTCAAATCCGCCACCCCAAGACCGTCCACCGGACTCACCGACATCGATCCTCCAACTCAAAGCTCTCTTCTTTCACCTACAAAAGTCATCTCGAAATTGTCCAAGCTTCTCGGAGAATCACATACTGTAACCCCCTATGTGATCCTCTCTCTATCTACGCTTATCAATTCCCAACAAAAATCACACACCCCCCGGCTCAGGTCGATGAGCATGTCCCATGGCCTTTTGGGTGGTTGACGGGGGTCGTCCGCTTGGTGTTACCGCTACTGTTGCCGCTACCGCTACTGCTACTGGCCGGGGTCCCTACTATGTGGGTGGTAAAAGGCGAGTGAGCGTCTCCGAAGGCGGCGATGGCTTCACTTTTGATACCAAAAGGACCAGGTTCGCCGATGAGCTTCCCTACGACGCCTACGACCATGCACCCATCTCTGTCGCTGTGGCTGCAGCTGCATCTGCACCAAGTGGTTATGCTTCATCAGATCATGTATCGCCTTATTACCCACAACCACAATCGGCATTCCATTCTGGAGTTCACATTATCAACAAAGCATATCCACACAATCACCCTTTTGACCATGAGGACGAATTCTTCTACAACCAAGACATTAAACACTATCCTCCATTGATCCATCGACCTGACTCAGCTCCCGTCAAGAACCTCTCGTTTCTCGTCATTCGCGAACGTTCACCAACTCCAGAAGGACCCGATTTCCCCTCTATCGATGCCGCCTTCGGTCCAGCTCCCGAACCCCGGCCGGGACATGTATTCGGCCCTTCCGGTCCAGCTCCGGCACCTACTCCGGCGCACGCTCCCGTCGCTGATGCATGCGCTATGGAGCGCACAGCATCTGGTCTCTCCATCTCCTCTGATACTACTCAGCCGTCACTCGCCAGTCTATCACCCGCCGCCGACGAAAACGACCCAGGATTGTTAAGTGACCTCGCTGCCGCACGTCTAGTCCGTGATCACGTTGCCAACTTTGGTTCCAGTCGTCGAAGGCATCGCACCACCGACTCACGCCACGGCCGTATTCTAAGAGCGCTCATCAACCCCAAGTCTCGCGCAGCAGAATTCCCCCTGGACAACGACGCATTGCGCAGCATCTTCTCGGCTGCAAACGAACTCTTCTTCTGTAACCGTCTTGCTGGCCGGGTCGCATGGGACTGGAGTCACCCTGCAAGCGCGCAGTATCAGGCGCACATTGTTGGCACCACAGCGGTACGACGTTCCCGTGACGGAGGCTACGAGACACTCATTGTTCTTTCGTCACCTATTCTCCAGGATACAAAGTACAATCGACGGCTTCTCATCTCGACATTCTTACACGAGATGATCCACAGCTATCTGTTTGTGGTATGTGGTCTCAAAGCCCGCCATGAGGGTGGTCATACCGAGGGTTTTCGCCAGATTGCAGATACCATCGACCGCTGGGTTGGACATAGCTACCTGCGACTCAGTGAGATGGACGCTGATCTGGAACATTTCCGCGAACATCCCTCCTGTATGCATGATCAGCACCAGGTGCGCAGTCGAAGTGCAGACGAGCACCACAGGGTACCATGGCGCAGTGAGAGATGGGAGGATGGAGAGCGAGATGCTCACTATCCAACCGAGCTTCATCCACGACCGCATCCTAGTCTTCATGACTGGGAGCGACATGGGCGAGAGGGGTACAGAGCCCATGATGTCCGGAGAGGAATCTCACCATACGTTTACTAAGCGTGGAAGTGACCCTCGAAGGTCGCCCACGTATTGTTCGTTTAGCTGATCAGGTATGCGGCTCAAAACGACCGCAATGCTGATATTGTATGTCATGATGATCATGACTATCCATTTTTCACCACGCATTACCGCCATTTTACATCAAAACTAACCGCGGGAGGTTGCTTATTTCTTTTTAATCTCAAGACTATCTTATGGGCTTGCTTGGTCTTTACAATATGATTCCCCCTTTTTCTTTTCACAGCGCGGCAGTGGGCATTACATGGGCGTTGATAACGGAAGCATCATCACGGGCAGGGTAAGGGCACATCATATAACGTCAAGCAGTGATATAGGCGCTGCGAGGCTTCTTTTTCAAACGTGTGGGAAAAGTATCAAATTATTATTATACCAATGGCTGGGATTTTCTTTGTGCAGGATGGGACATCAATATATCATGGTGGCGAAGATTGAAAAGGTGGCATCATGATGAAAGATCTATATAAACTACAATTTGGTAGCAATATCAAGAAAGATTTAACGCTTTTACAATTCA